TCTCGATGTAGATGGCAATGAATTCATTGATTATCAAGCAGCATTAGGCGCTATTGTACTAGGATATTCCCCCCCCCCCCCAATAAAATGATGGGACTGGTACACTTTTTCCAAATAGCCTTGTATGAGGTGTCAAATTTGTTAACAAAAATTATAGCCTTATAGAGTACACATATATTATTCACAAGTCATGTGTGTGTGTCTATATTTACAAAACAAAACATAAAAATGGCTATGTGCATTTGCGTTGATTAATAATTGTCTTGGCCGCTATAACAAGGTACAATAGAAAACGGAAAAAAATATGTAACAGTTTTGATGCATTGAAGAGAAAATGACAAAAGAGAGAATTCTACTATGAGTCTATGAGTCTATAATATTTAAAAGTCAGACAATAGACATTATAAATAAATTGTCTGAAACAGTTTAATAATGATATTATCTCAGAATTAATTTAAATGTCAAATTCATTGATTAATGTAGTGAAAGTTAATGTATTCTAAGTTGATAATTAAAAATGATATGAAAATTGTGTAGGATAATGGGAATTATTAAAATATATTCAGCCACGTGCAGGCATTTCTATATCAGATCATCTAATTAATTCCATCCCTTCCCACTCGATTGATAATTCAATTCAATATACCGGTACTCATCTACATAATGAGTTTTGTGTTTTTTCACATTGTTGCCATTCAAATGATATTCTTGGGCTGGTCGTCACATGGTTACATAATATTCTTGTCATGGAGGTCTGTTATTAACGATGATGACGTCTGTGGCGCCTCAGTAAAATTTTAAATTTGAAGAAGTGAGTTCAGAATCAATTTTGATATTGATTAAACAACAATAATTTCTACGCCAATTACACCAAGCAATCAGACTAGTGGCAAAGGTAATGGCCCGCGATAGGCACATGAATTACAATTAATTACCAGTATGTTAATGAACTTGTCAATATGCCATTAATTTGAACTGGTGGAAATATTATGCCCATTTTAGGACCATAGTCTATTGTAAAAAGTAGACCAATGCTACTATTCTTGAAAATTGCTTCTCTAAAATGAAATTAAAAGATACTGGTGTGTTCACCAATGCAACTAATCAAAATCTTAATGATTAAAATCATAAGAACTTCCCCTGAGCTTGTGTTCATTATTGCCCAGAGTCTCATTTTGAAAAGTTAAACCCTATTTCTAATAAAACTGTACTGATGAAGGTTGTTTATTCGAAACACGTGTCAACAGCATGAGATGAACTCTGGTCAGTTATCAATTATGTAAATAGGTTTGCATAAATTGTTACCTTATAGTATCAGTTCAAACATGATATCTGATAAAATTAGTGAGATAGAAATAAACAATACATAGTATATGTTGAGCCCAATCCTTACATTTGTTCTTTTGTCATTTTAACCAATCACAGCTTGTCATGCAAAGTTCTGTCTAATTACTGACTATGAATTGTGAGATAGCTTAACCCAAAGTAGAGCGATATGCCCATTGAGAGATTGATCGGCGGGAGAGGGGTGCTTGATTGTCAGCTTCTAGCTTGAAACGTCAGCAGTATGTGACCTTGGTATAAATTTTGTTGGATTACAATGGAGACAGACAAAATAAATATTAACGAAACAAAATTGTGATCTAATTTTGATTTGGAATGTTGATGAGCCCTATTCAAACCACTAGGAAAAAACTCAAACAATCTATATTTCAATCATATTTTTAACATTTGATCACAACATTTAAAAAGTGAGGAACTCATATCACAAGCACAATACAGTAATTATTGAATAAAACACTTCTTTTATAAATTTAAAACAATTTACATGTGTTGTCCTCAGGTGACTAAATGTGTAAATGGTGTTTGTCTTGTGTTTGTGACAATCAAATTAAGGTTAAAATTAACAAACATCACTTCAATAATCAGCATTTATGTTCATTTTATATAATTCCCTGATCTAGAGAAGTGAAGCTAAACTAATGACTAAGTGAATGAATCTTGTGTATTGAATTATACATATTGTTATATACTGATATAATCAGGATTGTGCAGATTTAGATAAGTTTTATGAATAATATATGCAGCCATAATAATTTCATTGATCAATATTTAAAAAATGGTTAGTGCCATATTATGCGGGAGCAATTTTTTAGCTTTTTGTAGCCAATTTTAAAAGGAGTTACTAGCAGTTGTTTGGGGTGTCTAGTTGCATGCTTGCTCCTAATATAGAGGTCAAGGGTTCAGGTGGAGATGATTTTATTCTTCCTGTTTTCCCCTGTAAGTAATACAGTCCAAAGATGCTGAAATTGATAAGCATGTAGTCATTTGAATGAGACAGTAAACTGAAATCCCATGTGTTACAGACTGCACGAATATCTTTCAACAAGTTGGAAATTAAACAGAAAAGTCTAATGCAACTGGTTTGGCAAAATTTCTATTACTGCATGACGTTGTTCGTTTTCATTAGCCCAATCAGATGCAGGAAAGTAGGACATAAAACACAATATATGCCAGCAGACACATGAAAAAATCTACCTCGAAATGTATTGATACTGGTATACAACCAAGTTTGTCTCAAAGTACAAATATGGCTTTAGGCATTCTCTTGAATGAATTTCAAAATATACAAACTTGAGTTGAGTTGTAGATAGCAAGGCAGTTCCGGCTCACTTTTCTGGGACACCTACTGCTTCTCTGTGTCTGTTTTTGATAATGCTGTATCGCTATTGATAGCTCTTAATGTTTGTTTGGCATTCTATATTTTTCAGTATAAGTTTCTGTATATTTGACAAGAGCTTATCTCATAAGCCAAAATGTTTGGAATATCTTAATATCCCTATTAAGATAGTTTGTTATAAATGGGGGTCAATTTTCTGTTATGAGTACTTATGGCATTGAGTAAAGTTAGCAAACTGGAATATATTTTGATGTGTTTCATTTTCTTTTTCAGATACTGGTTTCTAAGTATAGTATCATGTCAGCTGGATAGAGGTGGCAGTCAGCCATCTTGTCAGTGGCATGACACATCTAGTGACAATGTGACAATAGATTATGATATTTGGTTGGTGAATGGGGATCCAGATTTAAAGCATTACAACCCCTTCGAACATCAGTTTTCATTTGAAATGCACGATGTGTTCGAAATTCATCTTACAGCTTTAGTGATTTGTGTGATAATTCTCCCGATGTGGATTTATGTTTATCTTAAACAAAAACACGCTATAACTCAAATTCTCTCAGTGTGTATTGGATTACAGATGTCAGGAATAGCAGCAAACTTTTTATATGTTTTATTAATAGCAATATTAGGTACTGGATATACCTATCTTGCAGTGACTGGTAACTTTCTAGCGTTAGCCTCTCAGTGTTTTTTTGTGTTATTTTTAATATTTATAGCGAAAGGATGGGGTATTACAACAGATGCTCTGCCTGGTAAAATTGTGATGTATATAATCTGGGGTTTTTATACAATATTAAATATTGTACTCTTTGTTTGGAATTTGGTAAGTACAGCTGTATATTCTAAATGTTTCTCTGAATGAATTCATTTCAACCATTGAAACTAGTGAGTGAAAGTGATCTAGATAGGCTAGGGTTGAAAGCCACCACCTTGTTGAGTCTTGAAAGCAGATGACGAGTCATCAGCATTTTTTTAATCTTTGTGAAAGATTTGAACTATAATTTCAGTTGTCATGCTTGTACAATAGTAATTTCTAGAAACAATATCAATAGCCATTTTGTCTTATAAATGTATCCAAGGTACAATGTAATGTTGTCAAGTTAGTAAAGCTAGGAGGAGAGTCTAAAGAGCAACTGATTTCTGCTATTTGCGTATTGCCCCAACTTCAAATTCTGTTTCTATGAAACTTTATAAATTAATTTTTCAGATTTTATTAGATCCTGTTATTAATACAGATAAATGGCAGACCTATCCTGGATATCTCACACTGGCATTCCGTCTTGTAATCATGATCTGGTTTTTATATGAACTACGTAAAACATCTCAAAAAGGTCACCATCTTGACCGATTACAGTTTTTCCAACATTTTGGTGCGTTTTTTCTGGTGTGGTTTGTGTATTTACCAGCGTTAGTGCTCATCTGTTCACAGATTTCTGCTCTGTGGAGATATAAAACTATTTTAAGTAAGTATATAATATTCCTATAAAAAATGGAACACAATTTTATGGTACACTACTCCTTGGTTTTATTGCAACACGATGTTTTAGCAATTAAGATTGCAATCATCAGGTGAAATGATAAGGTATTAAATTAAACAGGAGTATAATACAATAAAACTCTTTTCCATTATTTACTGTGACCATTTCCCCTTAAAAAATATATACATAATTATATTTCCTTGCTTCTACTTTTGGCTTGCACCACATGTTCAGATATAAGAAATTTAATATAGATATTCAAACCAGCTCTTCTGCTTCGAAGACAAGGAGATGATGAAGACTTTTTGTTAAAAATCATCGCATTATTTTCTTTTTTAATGACCAGAAGTAGAAGAGATAAATATATATATATAATAAAGGCCGCAAATACTTGAAGTTGAAATTTGATATAATGGAAATGTTATGCATATTACATTTGCTACCCATTGAATTTTCATGCCTAAGTTGTTTCACATAGGAAGATTCGACATTTAATGAGGATATCTTTTCTACAATCAATTGAAATTTCATACTTCAACATAAGTAAATAGACTCAGTCATGTTAATCTAATGAATACAATTTAATGGAAAATGTTGAATTAAAAAAAGAATTGTTCAAGTTAAAAAAGTAATTTCTGAATTCAATAATCGCGAAAATGTGAATTATTGTATCCTATGGACATCAGATGGTCTTTGTTTTATAGTCTGCTAATATTAAAGGGAGGTAACCTATTCATGATTTAGAATCTTGATGTCTTAGAAGACGTCTGTACAGTGAAAGCTATGTGCAAACAGTGAAAAAAGAAAATTTATCTGTAGGATTTTGCCTAAAATTTCCTTGATTGATTTATTCATTGTGGAGTGTTTCATATTCCAAATGAATTGTAGCACGGTGAAAATGTCAAACCAATGGTGATCTTGGGTTATTAACTTGTTCAGCTGATGACAGTCTGGTGATCATGATGTTAACTGATATTGGTTCAGAACTAAAGTTTGATCATCTATATTTCAGGTATATCATATGCAGCTGAGATATTAGGATATATAGTTTTAATACATTTATTATGGCCCAGTAGATCTGTGTTATATTTAATTAATGGAGAGGTACCATTACAGACTTGGGATCTGGAAATAACAGGTTAGAAAACAATTAATTTATCAATCATTTTCTACATGTCTTAAGTTCATCAGAAATTATTTTATGTTTTTCATAGAATTTAAGTTCAATAAATAGATTTTCCAGTTACAAAAAGATGGATAAAATATCATTAAGTCCAATAAATGAGGCTCTTTGGTTGACAAGTGGACAGCACTTGAAAATTTTCTTTTTTGAGTCACTGTGGTTGGAGAGAAGTCAAAGTCATTTGGCAGAGATAGAAATACAAGGCCAATGTATTAAAGGCTATGAATTAAAGAAACTCTTAACAGTATTTCAGTGATTGATATTGGAATTGAAAGAGTAGATGTATATGCATTAGTGTTATATTGTCCTGGTAAAATAACTTTGCACACTGCATGGGTTTGCCCTTACCATATATTAATGTGGAGAAAAAAGTACATATTTTAATTTGTTTGAACTTTGTTTCCAGGTTTGTTGGATGAGGACACAAATTTAAATGATGATGATGAAGATGAAATCTATACAGCAGTACCCTCTAAGCCTTTAAATGGACATGTTGCTAACGGCCATGTTGGAAATGGTCAACTTAAAAACTTAAAACAAAATAATGGAGCAGCAGTTATACAGGATACATCATTATAAAAACTTTACATATCACTCTTGTAGATTCATCAATTTCATTACATAGAAAATATCATCCAGTTCTTAGTATTTATTTCTTGTTTTATGTAGGCTGATATGTGTTTAAGAGCTTAAAAATTAATATGAAACAAATTAAGCTCATTTAAAGTTGAGCAAAGATTTTTATGCACATTCAAGGACAATTCAAAACTTAAAGATCACCAGTCTATTTCAATTTGAGGTAGGATAGATAGCCCGTTTTCTATTGGTTTCACTACCTTGAAGTAGTCTGCTCATGTTTATGATTTGAATCATACCAAGATGCACAAATATCTTTCAACTAGAGTTGATACTTTTATTATTAGCAAGTAATGTAAGCTTTTCAAAAAATGAAAATTTGAAATATATAAAAACTTCTTTATTATATTGCTTATTATGTTTTATCATGTAATTTACAGTCTTTAATATTTATATAATTGAAAAGCCACTATTTGCTAGTCATTCCATATCAATCATTGTTCATTATAGAATATTTTGTTTTAAAAATGGTAATTAATTGTAAATATATCATACCATCGAACTGCAATAGAATTCTATGATCATACTAGCTCAATTATACAATTTCTTACAATATGACCCATTAAATACAATTGGTATTTCTCATCAAAATGGTGCAAAACATTCCAACTTTTCTGGAGACCTTTATATTCACATGATGTTCTTTTAGTCACTCTCTCCTGATGTAAATGTTTGTTGTCTACAAGGAGTAGACAACAAATAAGATTTATTTTATTTTATGTGTTGTAAAGTGGTAACAAATTGGAAAATATAAAAAAGGGCTTTACTGAAGTTGGTAGAATGAAATGTTATTTTATATTGATTATATTTGTTTTCATATCAATAGTGCTTTGCTTAAGATCAAATCTTTTTTTAAAGGGATACAGTCATCTTAATATTTGATTTACCAGCTGATAGAGCTCACTTTTCAGAATTAAATATACCATAAAATTTACCTTTATTATTGTGATGTCTAATCTTCAATGTCGTTTAAAAAGTAATAGGTCAGATGGTATACATATATTAATTTGACTGTATTTCTTTAGAGACATACAAATGTTTCATATTTATTTGTACTTTGTGTACAATCTGGTATTGTTTGTCAATATTTTGTAATCAAAATGTAAATGTACTGTATTAGTTTTACAATATTATTTCAATTTTTTTCTGCATACGACATGATTACAGATGAAACTGGAACAGATGACTCATAACAGAAAGGTGATCAGGTATTATTAGCTGTTAACCTTTTGAACACTCTGAGTGTAAATAAAATAAAATATCATAAACCCTGAATTCCAAGGAATAATACTTCCTGATGTGATGTCATTTGGTTTTGGCTGCTTTGCCAGTCGCTCAGGTATATTGTTTGTTATTAGATCACTCGGGTTGAAAGGGTTAATGTAAATAATATGAAAATATTTCATCTGTTTTTAATATTATATGTATATATTTGAATTGTCAATCTGTGTATATACATTCAATATCTGATGGTTTAATATAATATCTGAAAGGCTGTGATGAGATTTTTATTTATAAAACATGATATATATATAAATAGATAGTATATGAAATAACATTGGTTGGTGTATAATGTTTCTAAGTTCGAAAGATACCCTAAAAAAAAATTGAGATAATATCCTGTCTATAATCATATTGTCACTTTTATCTCAGAATGTTATCCATAGGCATAGTCCTACTCTTGAATTCTTTTTACACCCTAGTTCCCAAAGAAAAGAGACACAATTTGTAATTAGCAAATGTAGGAAAACTTTATTTTATCAGACTTCTCAAACTTGTCAAACATAATTTGTTTCTTTCACTTTTACTTAAACCTAAAGAGTATCTGTTCTGAACCCATAACATTAAACACCAATTAAACATGAAAGCATAATAGAATAATAATATTTACAACTTTTTCTTCAAATATTGTTATTTTTAATTCAATAATCACTTAATAAAATGTTTTGTTGAACACAATTAGCCTGTGGTTCTGTTTTTCAAGAATTTCGCACAAACCCATCAAGCTCTGATCATTACCAACTGTTTCTAACCACTACCGGTATGACATCAGTTACACAATTATTGCCAACTGGCATTATTCTATTGATGATAAACAATGAAGAGAGTTGGAAAAATATTCAAAAGGCACACATCACAGATGGATATCCATGTGTACAAGTCAAGATTAAAAATATACAAAAGTGTTGGCATATATTTAAATAAGCATCATTTAGAGTTCTGCTTCTTTTGATTTCTGTCCATACACGCCTTAAATTCCTTGAGTATATCTTGACACTGTCTCCAGTCCTTCTTATCAAACATACACTCCTGAAATATTGAGAAAAATGGTGAATAAAATCCTATAATAACTATTGTACTGAACAGGGGTTATGAAGAAGAATCTGTATTCCCACCAATGCAACAAATACTTCACAATTGTGGGGAAGAACCTAATCTTATGCTGAATACACATACTGTGAATATGGTTGTTCCAAGGTCTCAGTTTGAATTTGGAGGTGATATGTCAAAGTAAACACAAATCTATTCATACATTCATTCAACAGCATTCAGATTAGTCAAAATCGTAGAGGACACTAACGCTTAGATCAATACAATCAACCAGAGACAAAACAAATGACCTGCAAGTCATTTAGAAGATAATGTTATACATTGAACATAACACTCATTTTATCCATTAACACTATGTCTTATCATTTATTTACATCTCTACTTTCGGTTTTTTATGTTACATAATGGATTTTCAAGTGGAAAAAGTGTTTACATGGCAATATCAGTATGACATGACAGATTTCCGTACCTGGACGGCATAGTGCTCGTCACCACATCCTGTTTTATCTAACAGTTTCACAACCAAATCTTCCTCGTCATCGTCAGCAACTGTTGCTCTTCTTGGAGAACGATCGTGACCCATGGGCGCAGACATCTTGAATCGCTTACATCATATACAAATATTTCGTCGCTTGATGTAATTTTGTTAGCATTTAAAAACATATTCATTGAATATTCATTGAATAAGTTTTAAAAAGACAGAAAAAATCAGCACAAATTCTTACTTGAATTTGCATAAGAAACGAAGATTCTCTTTTGTTATTGATATAAGCGGCATGTAAAAAGAGTTATGCCCCTTTTCTCAAAAAAGGAAAACTGAAGTTTTATTTGAAGCTTTGCAGCGTGGACAATTTATCAAATAGTAGTTCTTCTGAGATATGGCAGACAGTGGTCCAAAGTCTCGAATCATTCTACAACAATGCTTATCTGCCAGGCTTCAAACTCAACCCAAAACTGTGAACAGTGAGGCAAAGTTTGTGGAGGTACCAGTCAAATTGCACAGATTTTTAAAAAAAAAACTTGAATGAATATGATGCAATCAATGCTTTAGCTGTAGAGCAGTTATTTCGGAATTGATAATGGTTCAATGATAGATTTGAAAAGTTATTTAACCCTTTGTTTTGTTCATTTTGTTTATGGATCATTGAATGGATTGAAAGATTGCAAGACACATTGAGTGAAAACTATATAAATTTTCCCTTGCAGATTGGACCTGGATTGATAGTGTATGTGTGTTTTCTAAAAGGTGCAACTGAAGATATTTTAGACAAAATAGGTAAGTGTTATGTTCAAACTAATAGCACAAATTGAGTAGATTTTACTCTACTATCAACATCAGATAACTTGAAAACAAAATGTATAAGCCCAGTTATAGTACTATATAGATAGATTTGAACTTCAATGTTTTTTCTATGGGCTTTATTCTTCTTTCAGTGAAAGGTTATGTTTGTCTAGTCGGGACCCTATGACTTTGGCATAATGGACATAATTCTGACCTATGTAAAATAAAGTGTTTTCATTATGGACTGAATGCTAGACAAGACCATGGACCTTTTTTTGACTCATGTAAATTAAAGACTTAATTATTATCTTTCAGTGAAGAGTATAACAACAGCTAAATTAAGTGAAATAGAAGAGGATGGAAAACGTGTTTCAGTTTTAGATCAACCCGGTGATATTTTGATTATACCTCAAGCAACCTTAGGTGGGGTTTTAAAAGGAAAAGTTATGCAATATCATAGAAATATAGACAAAGAAACTGGACTGAAACTGTATAGTAAATTTGTGGAACTGTGTGGATCTTTTGTCATGGATAACAGTAAATCTAAAGAATGTGATAAAACAGTTAAATTTGGTACCTATGGTAACAGACAAGTTTTTAATTGTGTTACAAATGGACCATATTCTCATGTTTTAGAAATTTGATATTTTGTTTGGTTTATTTTGTTTTTGTTAATTTATTGTTTGACTGTGAAACAAAAGTTATATTTTGAACTTTTATGTTTATACTTGAGCACTTTAATATGCTTACTAGACTTTTAATATTGTAATATTCTTCCAAATTGTTCATAAAGATTTTTCTACAAATTGAATTTTATTCATGGTCCATAAAATATCAACAATTGTTCTGGCAAATACAGTTCAATTCAACTGACCAACAGTAGTCAAACCAAACACCCATTGTACATCAATCAAATACTGTGGACTTGTCTTTGAACAAATGACATTCCAGATGATAAAAAAAAACAAAAAATCTTGGCAATTAATTCTGTACTTTTTTTTTAATGATTTGGATAATTTGTTGTGAAATATGAATTTCTTATGATTTGTTCATTACAATTAAAAATGATTTAATTGATTTCTGTTATTATACAAGGCTACATTACGAGTTTATTCGAGTTGAGGATGTTCGTTTGTCCAATGGGAACAATGGGATTAGGAAAACCATTAGTCTTTTAATTTTCCCAAAAGATAAACCCCATTATTATCTTTTATACCAATATCGGCTCGGCGTTATAATGCCCTGACTAATAATATCCAGTCAAAACACGCGTTGATTCTATTTTTAGATGCCGGAAAACTTGGGAATTCTGGGAAATAGTGACGTCACGAATGCAAGCTGAAGAAGAGGAAAATGGCTAAATTCAGTGATTAGGTGGACTAAATGGCGCAAAAATACCACCAAATCGCTGAATTGCGCCTTTATCACAGAGAATCGGATTTCTATTAAATCGAAGGGCATGGCAAAATACGACTGTACATATTGTAAAGCAGAGATTTCTGGTTATGGCGTTCAATGTACGGAATGCCCTGATTTCTACCTTTGTTTACAGGCAAGTATGACGTCACAAGCTCTAGTTTATAGCGAGACGAAGCTTGTATTGAGTTTATGATATTTCTCTATGTTAGCGGCGTGTAGCTAGCTAGATTGTTAATGGCGGCTTTCTCTATCTCTATTACAGTGTTTCTCGTGTGGTGTAGAAATAGGTCAACACAAGAAAGACCACAGTTATCGTATTGCGGTAAGTTGAAAGGATTTGAGGTGGAGTATATTTTCAATAACGCCCGCCTCTCTTTTGGCCAGGAACCAATCACAGGCCAGTTTTGATCTGATCCTGAAAATTGTTTTGGTTGACAACACTCATGCTTTTTTGAAGAATCAAGAATAGGTCACATAATGACACTGTTCAAAATCAGAATAATAGACATTGTCAGTCTGCAATCAGACACAAGCTCATCCAATGGTATTTAATGTTTCTCGGCAAATTTGGATTCATTTTACAAATGTTATCATATTGATATTTTTTTTGTCTGTAGAATGGAAATGGTCCGGCTGCGTTTGATACATCTCGAGCCTGGTGTCTGGCCGAGGAAAATATGTTGTTAGACGCTGTAGAACAATATGGCTTTGGTAACTGGTAAGTAAAATACTGAACTTTTGAATTGGAATAGGTCCAGTTTCTCTGATTCCATAAAAGCAAAAAATTTTTCTAAGTTATAGAAAACTATCACTAGCATTGAATAATAATCAATTGTGGAAATACCTGGCAGTTGATAAAGAAAGGTGATCTCAATGATAAGTGTAGATCATTTGCCACAAGTCTTGATATTAGAAAGTTAATTCCCTCATCCACACAAGCTGTTCTGTAAAAGTTTTTAAATCTAATTATAATGAATAGTGATGATCATAAGTCTGTATATATACTTCCTTTACATACTGTAGAAGAATGTTTATAGAAATTACAGCATGAGATTGGTTTCCATTCATTATTATGAAACAAAACATAAATGTGACATGATTAACAGTAATATGTTGAAAATTGTAAATTTGATTGACATTATTTTTATTTAAGGGAAGGAACTGCAAGTCATGTGGAGAGTCGTGATGCACAAGGTATATCTAAGAATTCTCATTATTGTAAATTTTATATCATAGTCAAGCTTGTCAATACTTATACAAATTTAATGTGAATATTGTCAAAATTTATGATAACCAATTAAAAAATGCTGTTAAAGATCGAGTCAATTAATTTTAAACAATGAATTTTCATCGCTTTAGTTTATTGAACAGATCATTTGACTGGTTTATTATAAAATGACCCAGAGCTGGAGATGCATAAGAATTCTTGAGAATGGCAAATGAAGTCATATGCAGAAATAATTTGTCTTCAATCAGTTTGACAATATCAATTTTAACTTGGTACATATGTTTGGTGTATACTAGAGTAATTAAAGTTATAATGACCAATCTAATAAAATAATTTACCTTTATTTTGTAGAGTGTGAAAACCATTATGTTACATTTTACGTTCAGGGAAATATCGGGCTAGGTATATTATTTTTCTTTTTTTTTTTTCTTATACAGGTATATTTTTTTTCACACATGGATGCTTATTGCAACAAAATCTTAAATTTGAAATACAATACATTGATATTTTTTTTACAAGGGAGATAACTATAGAGAAGAGTTAGCATAATTTTATTTCTGAACTTTATTGCATTAATGAAGACTTGCATTGCCATTTAACATTTTTTGATAAATATGGAGAAATAATAACAAAATATGAAATTATTTTTGGAGGATGATGTCATCCTGTCTTCAAGGGAGATAATTATTTTCTTTACCTTGTAGAAACATTCCAAAGTGATGGTGAAAATAAAGTTATAGACCATTCTTGTCCTGATGGAGGTAAATAATGTTTAATTGATTATTTTTTCTACATATACAAATTGGTGTCTTTTACAAAGTAAGCTTGTATCATGTGTACACAAATTTTCTAATGCCTGCAACTTCTTCCTTTTTTCTGAGAGCAATTTGACTGCACTTGTGCGCTGTACATGCCTAGATATTATCATTTTTGACATGAATATTGTTTTATTTTAGGTCCATTATCACCAAGTATCACAACACAAACTAAACCATTAGAACTTTCATTACAAGATCAACATGATCTGGGTTATATGCCTTTTAGAGACGATTTTGAAATTGTAAGTTTCTATATTCATTTAATTACCCCTTTTAGTAAGAACTATTTTAGCTGCAGAGACTGAATTATTGCATATTCAGAGGCTTCACATTTATCTTTTGAAATAACTTAACAGCTTATGGATTTCTGGGTGCTGGGTGTGCATATTAATGTTATTGTGTTCCAAATTATACATTCCAATATTTTGATCTTTATAAATAGTGTTATAAGTTGTATTTTATTGTATAGGAAAGTGATAATAGTGCTGAACAGTTAATATCAGGCTGGGGTATAAATTATGATGATGATGACCTTGACATTGGTAAGTATTGATCTTGTTTATTTATAACAGCTTTCAAGTTCTCACAACTGTATTGTTACTGTTATTGAAATTGTGACTTTCCATTAAATATGCTACAGAAAGCTTGACTTTCCTCAATTAACATTTGAAATGAAATACTAAAGGAAAAAATGGGATGCTAACTTCTCTTCGATTTTTTAATGTTTGAACCTGTTGTGATTGAAACTGTAATCTATGAAAGCTTGCTTGCAACTTTTTACTAATGCTTTGCTACTAAAATGAATTTTAACACACATTCTGAAACTTTTCAGTAAGTTTCAAAACTGTTCTTTCAGCCATTAAAGTGAGTAAAGTTGACCAATACCGACTCCGATTACGATCTCGTGAGAAGCGGAAACAAGTTGCAAGAGATTATGGGTTGATTGAATCTTTCTCTTCGCTCAATGATAAAAAGATGAGATTCAAGAAAAGAATGTCCAAAGATTATAGGGAATTTCAAGACAAGATGAAAGTTTTTAGTCAGTTTCACCCGGCAGCAGAACACGAACAAATGTTTGAAAACTTTCAACGTGAAAAAGAACTAAAAACTAAAATAAAAGAGCTTAATGAACTGAGAAAACATGGTATCACTTTGTTAGATGGTAAGACTATTATTACCTATTGGAGTTATGGCCCCTTTAGTTGATAATGGACTTGGACTTTATAATGAGCATTTTCTTTAATCCAGAATTGGAGTATTTAGATAGTCATGAACTACAAATTGTTCTAAATGTTGAATTTTTGATAACATTAATGTCTGACCATGGCCATTGTATTGATGAATTGGTCACACAAAAAAAGATTCTGATAAAAAGAAAGTATAGCCCAAGATATAAGATTTTTTCTTGAATTATTTTTTTTTTTTAAATCTAGTATAAATGTTCAATGTTCTGATATTTTCATGCATTATAATTTATAAATTCTCTGCTTGTCCAACTTCAGTATGGACACAGACTGAAAAAAGGTCAGTTGTCCAGAGGTTGCATAGCATGAGTAACAACCTGATTCAGCATGAGTAACAACATGATTCAGGTTCTGTTTTTAAAATTTGTATTCTCTTGTCAATATAGATATAGAAGATTACGATGAAGAAAAATATAAACGGCAGAAAAAGCGTGATAATCGAGCTAAGATGGTGAGTTTACTAGTAAATAGCCGATTATTACCAACACAGCGTCGTCGGCGTAAGTCAGACCCTCAAACATCATATTACATTATTATATCTTTATTTTACTTTCACTTTCCCTTTTCATATTGTAGGTGAGCTAGTAGAGTTCTTTCCCTTCACCCATCCTAGACACTCCCTTATATTGGTCTTTACCTCGTAATAAACAAGTAGTCTAAATTTTTGATAAATATTCAAATAGAAACAGACAATTTTAAAATTGTAACCTTTCTCTCTTTAATTGCATGTCTGCTCAAAAGTAACTGAATCAGAATTTTAATGACTTGTAAATCAGTTATTCTTGCTTTAAAGCTGATGTTTATAGTTAGTTTGTATTTGATCAGTCATTTTTATGCACAGGCATGTGTTCACTTTATACCAAGGTAGAAGAAGTTGTATTGAACTTTTTTACCTAGAAACATGTATATGTATAGATATTTTTACCCAACTATGCCATGATTGCTGTTAATTTGGCCAATTGAACCCTAATTTATGAAGATATATCTATTAAAAGATATAAATAAATGAAATAGAAAATTCCATCTACCTTCTAAACCACCCCTATTTAGTGCATGGTTGTTTTGCATGATTATGTGGCTTTTTTTTAAAAGGGAAAGTATTGGTAAAATGAAGATATATATTGAAATGTTATCTTTGTTTAAAATTTAGATTTTCTAGTTCAGAATCAAAGTTAAATCTAAATTCATTATTAGACATTGAATTTGTTTCTCTGTTCAGTTCAAACTCTTTCTCATGTTCATTTCCATTGACATTTAAATGTATGTTTCTATGTTTATGACTCTATATATAGAAAAAACACCTCACCATATGACTCTCTAAATAGGAAAAAAATGCCTCACCAAATTGCAATGTTCTTTTACATGATTAAGTCATCGTTATTACATTGAATTTCAGTAAATATTTTTATTTCACATGAATCTTATTTTTGGCATTTTTTCATCATCCACATCATATTTGGATTTAAGTTACTTAAGTTTCCACAATTGAATAAGCCTGATAAATCTAGCTATACCTGGGATGTGATGTGAATGGAATATAGGCACATTGAGGATATAGGCATTTAGGCACATCAAAGATCAGACATGAAATATCACATTTTATGGGAGTTGCTCAAAACTACCGTTTGGTAATTTTTAAGAATTTTCACCATGTTAAAAGGCACATTTGGCAGAAGTTTTGGTATCTATACAGAGCTAAACTCTTAGTAAGTCCATCGAGACATTGCCGTATATTCCACAATGTCTATGTACCATACATCATGTTCAAGGAACTGATGGAGCCAGATTTGTTGGGTCATAGTCCAAAGCATTTCATTTCATTTTCATTGATGTTTTGTCTTGTGAAATAACAATGCCTGTCTTTCTCTTAGGGAAGCCTGACCCCGAAAAGAAACTCAACAGTGTCCAAAAAGGCAGAGTAAGTACTGCATCTATTTAATTTCACAGAGCTTAACAAATTCTTACACAACCTCCTAAACTCTAAATTGAGATAGAGGTCTTATAGAGGTAGCCAACCTCACATGTAAAGGCTTTGAGAGTGGATCATTGTGTTTGATGCTTTATAATTTTCAGTTTATAGATTTATATGAGCTTGATAATCTAAGATTTTTTATAATTCTTTTTAGGGGAAAACTCGAAAAACTAGATATACTTATAGACGAAGAAGGTAAGACTGCTAGTAGTATTTTAGTGTTACTTTGTCATTGCACCTTCTTTTAGCAACGAGAAGTAAATTCTCTACAAGTCAAAATTAATGATGAGAATAAAATATTTCCTTGTGAAAGCAACAAGTTAGATGTGATAAACCTTGTACATTGTTGCTGATGGAACATGGTGTTATTGTGTTAAAGTTACAATCTCTATAGTAGTTCAAAAACAATAGTTCTGTTCAATGATTCCCTCTATTATATATTTATACTTGTCTAATCTCTGAGTGAATTTCAGTAGAAGATAAAGATAATGAGATGAGAATAGAAACAAGATCAACTAGTCAACCAGGTTATGATCTGATTTCAGATCGCGAAAAAAAGGTTGGTAGATTTTGTCAAACTTCTAGCTGTTTCAAAGGTTAATTTAGATATTCCTGTATATTGAAATCAGAAAAGAATTAAAGACCAAGCTCTTGATCAAAAGGAAATTTTGTGTGTAGATAAGCAATAATGAATTTTAACAAGGAAGGACATACACATAGCAGTCAAAAAATTTGTCTGGGAAAATCAGCAAATCTTATTAGTTCACCCTTGACTGAGCTTGTTATGGTATATTTCTGTATTTATTATTTCAGTTATGTGTTTCTATTGGTATGTCCCCAGCTAATTACATGACAATTAAAACTTGTATTATCAAGGTAAGTAGCCTATATAATCTATAGTCGTTTGAGATTTACAATTAGATAATTAGATAGATAGAAATTAATAAATTGCTTTTATATATGCCTTCATAACAGTAAAAATGACGATAAGACTTAAAAGTCAAGAACATTAATTGGAAATATAAATTAAAATGTTTAAATCTTGTTAATTCCATTTCAGGATTATCTCCAAAGAAGGCAGGGTTTACCAGTCAAAATACGTTATCCCAACGGAATGGACAAAACACATCGACGGAAAATAATGAGTTTCTTGACAGACAATGGCTGGATTGGTGTCACATGAATTAATAACCTAGTGCATTCTGGGTATTAATTACATCACTAGAGGGAGCTGGCCGTTATGTGCTCAAATATCTTGTTATATGGTTGGCTAGTTGAGACTAGGATTCTGATTGGCGAGTTAAAACTTGGGAACGTATGGTTAACACTTGACTGAAAGTAGAGACTCTTCTTTGATAAGCTGATAAAACAAGAGGCTTGTTGCCTTCTTTAATTTCATTGGTTAATCAAAAAGTATGTATTACTGGTTGTAAAGTGTTGGTTGATTGGTTGATATTTTTTATTCCTTCATCTCATCATCTGTGTGTATATCGTCTTGTGTGAAATTATTCATAATTGTGATAATAGTTACTAAAGTAACCTGACACTAACAATATCCCATAATTCATGATTCATCTTTCATAAGAATTTTAAAAGAAGTGTTTTAATTGGTTGCGTTTATTTGATGTTTTATGCGCTGTTATTTAAACTGTTGTACAGTTAATAGTGAGTGACAATTTTTCTGCTTTAAAGTAAAGTTTGGAAGGTGTACAATATTGGAACTGTGAAACTTGGATGTGTAGATTCTTAAGAAGTTTTGAGGAAATGGCAAAAGGTTTGGGCATATTAACAGTATAATAACTTGCCAATGGCAATAGAGTATGTGTGAGCTCATTGTTATGTAAAAACTATGTCTCTGATGTTTACAAGTCCTATAATGTGGAGTTGGAAAGTGCTTTATAATACTGACGCAATGTTATGGAGAGACTGGGTATACAAGAATGTATAAAGTAAGAAAGATTATCCAGTGTTAATATATTTGTATTTATTTTTTAAACTATTCTAAGTTATGATGTATGTTAGTGTATTGTATGGGTCAAAATTGTATATCTGTTGGTGATATAAGTTCACTATTCTGCTATTTACTGGTTTAGAATTATATTAACAAGCAGATATTTGTCAAACAAGTTCTTGCTGGATCGCCTCTTGGTTTAATTGCAATATTATCCCTTTATTCTCAAATGATATGGAAATTCCAAGACCAGATAACCAATGTATTGATTGAAATATTACTCACAGAATTTATTGGGTCCAAATATGTAAACAGTTTGATTAAATTGCCTTTGAAATTAACACACTTCCCTCCCAGAAATTACAAATAAAAACGACCTGCTTTTCAGATTGAAATTTTCTTTCTGTGAATTCATAATTATTTTTTTTCACCTATTGAAAAACCATCATAGACTCTGTGTATGTCTGAGTTGATATTTCTAACAAATATGGTGGGCAAAATATAATTCAGGAAACATTGTGGTCAGTTAATTGAAATTTTCAATAGTGTTAATACGGTGCACTATTCATAATTTTATAATGCGATTGTTGCACATTGTATAGAAATGAAGCCGGCAGCACAGTGTGTGTGTGATTCTATGTAATATTGTTTGTTGAAGGTTGTCATTGGTTGTTTATATTGTAAGAATAGAAGTTACTGTATGGTTGTTTTAAATGTTTCAACTGTAAAATTGTACATATATTATCAATCTGAATAAAAACATCAAAATCATTTACTTGCTTGCTCCTTGGTGAGCTCTGCACAATCAGGATTCATGAAATCCACCGACCATTGTTTAAAGCAAGTTGGAACAGAGTATGCTGAAAACATAGGCACAGACTCTAGAATTCAATATGGCTGAGAAAGGAATAAAAGGGAAAATTTTGCATGTGACATTATCTGGTTCGCATGGTTCCATAATCTTGGATTGAGGCCAGAATTGGAACAAACGTAACCTTGGTATCTACCGTAAGTTTTCAAAAGACAGTTTAAGCTTGTAAGTTGCCTTGCCGATTTCAAATATCTTTTGTTTTATTTAAACTCACAGAGATTTGCTTAAATAATTGAAAGTTTTGTACAAAATGTTGACACTGAAACAGAAAGTAATTTTAAAGACAGACAACATAAATATTTATTTACACAATGATTTCTCTAGAGTAAACATACACAATTATACAAGAATCAGATAATGTAATGTTATAGGGGGTTAATTGGACCAAAATTCTCACTCCTGATGTAATGTAACAGGGTTTTATTTGACCACCATTTACTCCTGGCTGGTATATTACACTACAATATACCTAAACACTTGAATCAATGTATGAAGATGCATTTTAAATATTTTTCTAAACTTCCCATTTCTGGTTTCAAAAGCATCAATTTTAACATGCAGAAATGCACATTTTTTTTTAATTTAATATACTGTTAGTCTAGCAATGGATGATACATTCATGATTTTATTAAGGCACATAGTACGGAAGACATGATAAATTAGACAGATGTAGTTTCGTAGCTTGTCTTACTATATTGAGACTCTGGGTCTAGGTAGTCTGGTATCAAAATTTAATAAATGCATACAATGTAGAAGAATAGTATTATCAATAGACATGTATGCACCTCAGAGTACCTTTTGAAATCAAATGCCTTTGCAGGTAGAAGTTTTAAACGATGATTGAAACTTGGCATATGATTTTCAGTCTACTTTTGCATTATCACTAGTTGTTTCCTCGTATGATTATAATCACCTGAATTGACCACAAGCAATGTCAATCTACCCTTACAATGGACTTGTACAGGACTAAAGACGACTAAATGCTGAAGAGAATGGTACAATGATAGATCTATGTTGGTGAAATGGCTACAAGACTTGCATATAAATATATAGATACAAAATTAAGTTACTACAAAAATTTATATAAAAAGATTTCCTAAGTAAAAAATACTAAAAATTTGTACAAAATATCTACAAAATTAGAAAATGAGCACCAAAAGTGGGATTGAGGTAAAAGTAGCAGACAAACATTTCACAAATTTCTGTTACCATGACAACAGCTGTTGGTCACTTCAGATTACTTTGATAGTTTTTATAACAACAGCACCAAAACTGTGACATGAACACAGAAACAGCAACATCATCAACATGAATCTATGACATCATCATAGTTTAAGAGAAGTGAAATATTTGACCTTTGAACCTCAACCTCTTACTAAGTCTCTATTGTTACAGGTACCACAACACATTTTACTAAAAACACGATGACCACACAGTTTTCCTGCTTTAATTAATTTACAGTTCATGGCACTAATCGAATCTTGACATAGAACGTTCTCTGGTTCTGAAATGAAAAAATAGACTTGAATTTAACTTGAAGGCAATACTTTTCTATTGGAACAATAACTGCTGTCTGATTACCTTAATCCAGTGAAGAGAACCTATGTTATATAATTTTTTGAAAAGACTATGGTTTAATGTGCACCAAATTAAATTTTATCCTAACAGGGACCCAAATTTCCGAATATATGGACTGTCAAGATGCCTTTAGTATTCTCATAAGGTACACAAAAATGTGGTGTTAATAGCCATGGATCAACAAAGCTGTGTGCATAGCCTGTCCCAACAAGTGAATACAATAATTTTGTCATGTAATTCTAGTTGCTTGCATTACAATCCCTCCAAACATATTACTTTCATACCCACAACAATGAAACACTCAAAAAGAACAAAAACAGACCTGTTAATTTGACCTGTACAGTTGTAATTGCTTCTTGTTTTTGGACACCATTATCTGCTACACATCTATACACTCCAGAATCATCCAGAGTAGAATTCCTGACAATCAATTCCATTCCACGTACATAAACATTGTCAGATTCTATCACTTCACTCATATCTTTCTTCCATGTTACCTCTGGTATGGGATAACCAGTTACTTCACATTTTAATGTGAACATATCACCCTGGTTGATCTTGCCTTTATGTCTTTCAATACGCACAGAGATAGATTCTAAAAGAAATATTTTGAAGAAAATTTTAGATGTTGTGTTTCAACCTGGCTGACTTATTCATAGCCATGTGGGCCTAAAGGAAAAATTAGGACAGATGGACCACAATAACACTTTTCTCAAGAATATATGTAAGTCTCCATGAAGAACTTTAGATCTCTACCAGCTCCAGACTCTAGTACATAAAGAATTATAACAGATTTTTATTGACATATTTACAGATTGCTAAGCAACTGACTGACTGGCTTGTTTTCTTATCTCTTCTTTGAAAAAGCAGAAATAACTTCATATCTTTTTAAGCCATAAGCAAAACAAACATTTCAGATTGTTGTTACAAAAGCATTTTTCTCACAAAAGCAAAATCTAGCAGGAAAATCAGCCAACAATAATTATTGTTGTAATTACATTTTAAGCTCTGAGGGTATCATTAGTTGTACAACAAAAACATTCAATCATGCACAAAAAATTCAAAGACATTTTCCAACATGTTCTTGTGTAATCTTAATTTTGGTTGTTCCATCTCAATAATTCTTCCAATATGAATCATCTTAATTTCAGTACCAAGTTCTTACCTCTAACCTCAAGTTTAATTTTACGTTTTTTCATAGACGCTGCAATGCCATTGGCTGCTCGGCATTCATAATAACCTCTATCTTGATCTTGTGCATTAATAATAATCAATGTGCCATTATTATACACATTGTAGCGCCCTCTAGTGAACACTTGACGGCCCTCTTTATACCATGTGACTGTTGGTTTAGGGTTACCCATTGCCTGACAATGGAGGAAGGCATTCTGTCGTGGTTTCACAGCGATCATTTTTGGTCCGCGTAAAATTTTCAAGGGAGCTAATTGAGAAAGAAGGTTAGTGGTTAATAGACAACATTTAATTTACATTCAAAATACATTTGTTACCTTAGTAGAAACATAAAGTAGAAACAATCAATCGGTTTCTTACTCATGTGATTATTTTAGCATTGCATTAAGACTTTAGAACATCCATTGTCAATTGGCTCAATCTAATTAATCTAAATGTCTTAACAGCAAATGTATGTTAATCATGCATTCCTAATTTAATTCAGTAGCATATCATTCATTTTTGAATAACAAAGATCCTTGATTCATGCTTGTAGTTTCTGTAGGTAGAAAACAAAGGGACAAGGGTGGGGGGTGGGGGTAGTGGGGTGGTTGGGGGTAGTAAGTATTCATGCCACTAATATACATAACACATTCCATTAACAATTTTTTCAATTATTACATTTATTTTTCTACAAGTCTTTTAGAACAATCAGAATCTCTGCCTTCTGATTTCACATTTATCTAGTCAAAATTAAAGTTAAAACAATATTTCAAGCAACACTTACTTCTGACTTGAACCACAAATTTTTGGACAATCGGCACCTCATTGCCTTCTCCGATCTGACATTTATATTCTCCATTGTCTTCTTCAGTAACAGCCTGGATCACCAAGGTACCATTATTATAATCTCTAAAATTATGACCTGCTATAATACGGAATCTGAAAAGACAAAATATCAATTAGATTGATACAGGCTGTATTAAATGAATGGAGTTTTATGTCCTACTTTCTTACTGCACCTTAGTATTTGAAAGACAATCGGAGCCAACTATTACATTGCAAGACAAATAATGATCATATTTAATAAACTAGACTTACTGTTCCCTAAACCATAAAACTTCTCCTTCGTTGGTAAGTTGTAATTCACAATTCAATTCTACTTTACGTCCAGCACTAGTATAAACTATAAAACTACCATCCTCTTGTCTCTCTACTACATTTGGTTCATCTGAAAAACAATTAAACAGTCTTGACGTTATTCCTCTCATAGCTTACATGACCCCATATGGTGAGGGGTTATATATGTTCCCCAATCCAATTCACTAAAAATACTGCTTATAAAAAAAAGTCTTTTAATCAGCTTGTTCAGATCCTTACCATAACAATTGGAACGCGAGGAATCAGATGCTGGTGTTTGTCCGTCACCACAGCAACCATATCTAGAATAACGACAATCACCAAGTCTTCGTGTTACACCAGGCTTTATTGTTGTTCTTCTTGGTGGTGGCGCTGAAGATTAACAAAAATGTATAATTTCAAATTTGTATTTCAACAAGTAAAAATACTCAAAAGTTGGGGGAAAAAATTAGACATGTGTACTAATGTAATATTTAGAAACTGTAATATTTGGGATAAAAGAAGACATATCCAGCATAAAGAAAACCAAGCATCAATGAACTAATGAAATTGAATCAATGAATTCTAAACATTTTCAATAATGCTTTCATCCCCATGGACTGAATGGGATCATGTGCTTTTTAATTCTGACTCATCTCACCATGTGAAATCAAGAAAAAAAAGAAACTAAATACCTGCAGTTGTTACTTCTACTGTTCTACGCTGACATCTATTACTACATTCAACTTGAGAATCAAATCTATTTCCGTTTCCATCACAACCACCATAATAAAATCTTTGACAAAGCCTGGTTTCTGAGTTATAATACCAGTGTATGGTCCAATTACTACATAGTCGCCCACTTTCTTCCTTCATTGAACATATATCTCCTAAATTTGAAACAATCATTTTTATGAAATTTTGATGAAAATTTGATGTTGGTGCCACATATGCTGTGATCAAAGGTCTGGTGAACTTAAATGTGTCATCTTGTCACTGGATTTATGACAATCTTTCTTCATTTGCTCGTTTTACCCTAAACCAGATCATTCAACCCTTTTCAGCACTAATTTTGGAAGCTCAAAAGAGATTTTTTTCAAACAATGAGAGCACAATAATATAAGAAAATTAGCAGTGTGAGGTGCTATACCAAGCTAATGATGGATTGTCATAGGTTTGAATCACCTTCTACTCAAGTTTCTAATTGTTCAAATTTTCGATAATATGGCTGATTCTTTCACAAGATGTCCTAATGAACATATTCACCACTTCCACAAATTGTAGTCTTCAAATAACAGTTAATGACTAACCTGAAAAAGGTGCTCTTGTGACTGGTGGGGCACGGGTTACTGGAGGACGTGTCACAGGAGCTCGCGTTACTGGAGACCTTGTTGCTGGAGCACTGGTAACTAAAAGGTGAAATAATATTTTTGTTTTAGTTTGAGATCTTTTTGTTTTAATTAAGAGATTCACAGAGCTCATTGATATTTATACAAATGATGATGATTTGAAGATGTGATATGTATTGTATTTTGTCTATAGTGTGGATTACCAAAAAAAATACTGGTAGGGTAATTTTAAAAAATAGTTATGGTTATGTAATGGTATTTATACATCAGTAATGTAAATTTGTAATGATTGCTATTGGTAATATTATGTGATGGTAAAGGTAATAATATTGTACTAATGTTATGTGATGGTCATAGTATTAGTGGTGTACATTGAGATAATGGTTTTATGATGGTAGTGTGCATTCAGATAATGGTTTTATGATGGTAATATTTATGGTAGTGTGCTTTCAGATAATGGTTTTATGATGATAATATTTATGGTAGTGTGCATTCAGATAATGGTTTTATGATGGTAATATTTATGGTAGTGTGCTTTCAGATAATGGTAATTGTAATATTGTAGTAAAGTTATGTAATGGTAATATCTATTGGTAATGTTAATTTATGTATATGTAATTTAATGGTTCAATATTTGCAGCAAGTATTTTACCTTGTGAAAAGCAAAATCCCTGCAACAGTAGCATGAAATAGAGAGCATTTCTACAGTAGAGTACAGTCTTTATATAATAAATTCAGTTTCTAAGGCTGCACACAATATACACAATTATACTGTACCTACATTTACTTACATAATGGTCTTATAGTGTTAGCTATACCTTTTGACTAAATACTAATGTACCTACCTTCATTTGGAGCTTAAAAGTAATAAAATCCCATCAAATCATTCAAATTTGAAAATTAATGTTCAATAGTAAGAAAAAATCTAGTAATAATCTAGTAATAGAAACATCATCATGCCTAGAAAACTGAGAGTTATGTACCTTGAGTACGAGAATAGAAACATTTTAAGCGACATTCTGCTTGCTTCTCAAAACGATTTCCGTTTCCATCACAACCACCATAATAAAATCTCTGACATCTTCGACTTGTAGAATTAAAAGCCCAATATATCGTCCAATTAGAACACAACCTACCAGGGTTACTGTCCAATGAACAGTCATCTAAAAAACAACAATCACTATAACTATTCAACAAAAACCATTCACTTCAAACTCAACATTTTCAAACAATGACAACATCTAGATTTATTTAAGATTTATAAAAAAATATCCCACCGATTTTTTTCCAAATACATGTACTCTTACAAGAAATAAATTTTGATATTTTTTTCAAAGAATAGAAACATGCCTTTTCAGAAATTCAGTTACCTTGAACAGCTCCAGAATAACCTTGACTTGAGATGGAATGACCTTGACTGGAATGAGAGTGATGGGTTTCAGATCCTGAATGACTTAGACCAGTTCCAGATCCTGAATGACTTAGTCCAGTTCCAGATCCTGAATGACTTAGTCCAGTTCCAGATCCTGAATGACTTAGTCCAGTTCCAGTTCCTGAATGACTTTGGCCAGTTCCAGATCCTGAATGACTTTGGCCAGTTCCAGATCCCGAATGACTTAGTCCAGTTCCAGTTCCTGAATGACTTAGACCAGTTCCAGATCCTGAATGACTTTGGCCAGTTCCAGATCCTGAATGACTTTGGCCAGTTCCAGATTCTGAATGACTTAGTCCAGTTCCAGATCCTGAATGACTTAGTCCAGTTCCTGAATGACTTTTGCCAGTTCCAGATCCCGAATGACTTAGTCCAGTTCCAGATCCTGAATGACTTTGGCCAGTTCCAGATCCTGAATGACTTAGACCAGTTCCAGAACCTGAATGACTTAGTCCAGTTCCCGATCCTGAATGACTTAGTCCAGTTCCAGATCCTGAATGACTTAGTCCAGTTCCAGATCCTGAATGACTTTGACCAGTTCCAGATCCTGAATGACTTTGGCCAGTTCCAGATCCTGAATGTCTTAGACCAGTTCCAGATCCTGAATGACTTTGACCAGTTCCAGATCCTGAATGACTTTGACCAGTTCCAGAATGACCATGACCTTGACTAGTTGTTGATTCACCTTGGACTGTTTCATTTTGCACTTGACCAATACCATCTTTTCCTTGAACTGCTTCTGCTTGTCCATGGCTATGATTTGTATTTGAATCACCATGGATATTATCGATTCCAGATGTTCCATGGCTATGGTTTGTTTTGGAATCTCCATGGCTATGATCCATGTCGGATTCACCGTGGCTATGATTTGTTTTTGAATCACCATGGCTATTATCCATTTTAGATCCATCATGACTATGATCCATATCTAATCCACCATGGCTGTGATTTGTTTTTGAATCGCTATGGCTAACATCCATTTCCGATCCACTATGGCTATGATCCATTCCAGATGTGCCATGGGTATGATTTGCTTTTGCTTCACCATGTCTTTGATTGACTCCAGATTGACCTTGACCTGCTCCAGATTGACCTTGGTCCCTTCCAGACACTCCACGCCCTGTAGTGTAACTTCCTAACCATGAAAGAAAAAATATCACATTTAATGTATGAAACAAAACATTGTAGGACTTGTGGGACTAAACTGCTGCTTCCAAAAGACCAAGTCAATTGACTCTTGATAAAACTAGAGGATCATCCATTATATTTAAGATAAAATTTTCATTTTTCACTGAACTGATAAAGAATTCTCTTTGCTTAGAAAAGGCATTTTCAGCCCATGGAACGAAACTTCTGCACCATGCAAGAAATTAAGAAAGTTCAATCAATTGCCAACTGTAAGCTTCTAACTTCACAAAAACACTTGTGAAATTGTAACCCAGCACTAAAAACACAAGACAATCTGTAACTTCAAGAATGAAGCCCAGCAGCAGCAACAAAGCCATGCAAAATTCTAGAACAGAATCTATTCAAAACTCAAAATTAGTTCAAAATGTTTTATCTTAATATGTTTCATCTAGTTCTTAGACTAACAATGAAAGAGTAATTATTAGTTAGGTATGATTGGAAAAAGAAAAACCATCATCTCACCATTCTGTAAAAAAATCCCTCTCTTTTGATTCCTTAATTATTTCAAATTTGTAGAATTATTGGGAAGTGTCTGACCTAAATTCAAAGCAACCAAATGAGAAAGCAAAAAAGATTTATCAAAAGCTACTATCAATTTTCAATCCTCACTCTTATACATGCAGATCTGGAAGCATTTCAAACACAACATGCAAAAAATCTGTACCTGGAGTACGAGAATAGAAACATTTTAAGCGACATTCTGCTTGATTCTCAAAACGATTTCCGTTTCCATCACAACCACCATAATAAAATCTCTGACATCTTCGACTTGTAGAATTAAAAGCCCAATATATCGTCCAATTAGAACACAGCCTTCCAGGGTCGCTGTCCAATGAACAGACATCTAGAAAATTATGGCTATGATCTACTTCTGATGTTCCATGGCTAGGGTTTGTTTTTGATTTAGTGAGGCTATGATCCATTTCAGATCCACCATGGCTATGATTTGTATTTGATTCACCATGGCTACGGTCTGTTTTTGCTTCACCATGGCTATGATCCATTCCAGTTTGACCTTGACCGGACTTTGAATGACCTTGACCCTGAGCAGATTGACCTTGGTCCCTTTCGTATACTCCACGTTCTGATGAAGTGTAACTTCCTAACCATAAAAAGAAAAAATATCTCATTTAATGTATGAATATATTGAAGCTAATGAGTGTAGAGACAAAATAGAATTTCCGGACCTAACTCCTGCTCCCAAAACACCAGACAGCATTTGACTCTTGGTCAAAACAAAGGTACAATCATTACTTTAAAATAAATTGCATTCACTGTTAAATCAGCTGATAAAAAATAATATTTTTCTTTCTATCTAGCTTTTAAAGCATTTTCAGCTCTTGAAATGGAACTTCTGCACCATGCTAAAAACTAAAGTTCAATCAATTGCCAACTGTAAGCTTCTAACATCACAAAAACACTTTTAGCGAAATTGTAACCCAGCACTAAAAACACAAGACAATCTGTAACTTGAAAATAAAAAGCAGCCACAGCAAAAAAGCCATGCAGGAATCTACATTTCATCTTCATTTTTTCTATCTGGTTTTGAGACTGACAAGGAAAGAGCAATTCTTAAATGGATAAGAACAAATTGTACATTTCACCTTGAATAGTCATTGGTGCATGCAGTGTTTTTATTCAAGACCAAAATAGACGAGAACAGCAAAGCAACTAAAATAAAACAAAAAGCACATTTCTTTTCTCAAAATCTACCATCAATTCACTATCACTATCACTCTTCGACATGCAGATCTGGAAGCATTTCAAAACTGTATTTCTTCAACAACATGCAAAAAATCTGTACCTGGAGTACGAGAATAGAAACATTTTAAGCGACATTCTGCTTGATTCTCAAAACGATTTCCGTTTCCATCACAACCACCATAATAAAATCTCTGACATCTTCGACTTGTAGAATTAAAAGCCCAATATATCGTCCAATTAGAACACAGCCTTCCAGGGTTACTGTCCAATGAACAGACATCTAGAAAAATATATCAGTACTTAACATATATCAATAATAAAAAAAATAGTTTGTTTCATTTCAATTCAAACAAACTGATATCGATTTGAAAATGGCATAGATATATTTTGGATTGAATATCAAATGATGGTACTCTCTGCAACTGTAGTACAATTTCTACCAATTTTATTAGATTAATAGTTAAATATTTTGATGGATTAGGAATCAGATTTGTGGATTTTCAACATATATCATGTCTAAACTACCTCATTGATTTTGACAGCTTTGGCATTTAAAATAAAGAATTTGGTTTTTCCCCTCATACAGTTTTATCAGAAAAGAAACACACCTGCTACAGTTCCACTTCCACTGTGTGATATTTTTCTTCCCACTTGACCTGTTCCAGATTGGCCTTGTCCTGTTCCAGTTTGACCTTGACCTGTTCGAGTTTGACCTTGACCTGTTCCAGATTGGCCTTGTCCTGTTCCAGTTTGACCTTGTCCTGTTTCAGTTTGACCTTGACCTGTTCCAGATTGACCTTGACCTGTTCCAATTTGACCTTGTCCTGTTCCAGATTGGCCTTGACCTGTTTGGGTATAACCTTGACCTGTTTCAGTTTGGACACGACCTGTTCCAGTTTGACCTTGACCTTGATAACCTCTTCCTTGATCAGTTCTAGTTCTGGTATATCCTACCCATAAAAAACAAAAACTATTTGTGGTTTTCAAAATGAAATGCATGCATTTTGCCTCATTCAAAGCTAGATAGAGCAGCCAATAAGCAATTCAAATATTTAAAATTGTTGAGAACTGATTGAGACCTGAAAAGCATACCATAAATTATATATAACCAAACATTAAGAGAGACCAATTGGGATATTAACAAAACTGATGTAAAAGAAAAAAACTGTACAACCAAAAATCTCATCCAAAAATATAATTTGGTATAAACAAGCCGTGCAAACAAAACGTGTGACGAGAAATAAGAAATCTAGTTCATAATTAAGTCAATATTCATGAGGCACTTCTATATAAAATATAAACTTAATTAATCATTTGCAGATTCAAATTAATCAATTGCATTGTTGTTCATTTTTTTTCATGATCTAGAAAAAGAATCAAATTTAAAAAGAACCATTGTAAATACTGACACATAGTTAATGATTTATCTCAGTTAAAGAATACAGAATAAGAGCTTTACCAGCTGATAAACTCAGTTTTATTTATTAAGTCACTTAAGCACTCTCAGCTGATAATAAAATCACCATGTACCTTTCACTATATAAAAATTAATATCACTGCACAAACAGAAAACAAGAGTTATGTACCTTGTCTACGAGAATAAGAACATTTAAGACGACAATCATACTGAGTCTCAAAACGATTTCCGTTTCCATCACAACCACCATAATAAAATCTCTGACATCTTCGACTTGTAGAATTAAAAGCCCAATATATCGTCCAATTAGAACACAACCTTCCAGGGCTACTGTCTAATGAACAGTCATCTACAGAAACCACAACAAAATTAGAAAAAATTAATGATATGCTTCATAAATTGTGGTAAGGAGGTCTTGCAACAGACAGTTTTCATTGTAATTTAGTTCGAGAATATTCAAGGTTTTTTTCCTGAAGGTAACTTCACCAAATGTGCATTTTTATCATATTTAAAATAATTTGATGGTACAAAAAAACATGTCTAATCCAAGTAACCATTGCTTTTGTATTCCCCAACTAATGCAGATGTTCCAGATCCATTCCATTGATTGATCAATCAGATGACTGTATCAGAAATTGATTCAAAAGTCCAACAGACCTGTTGATTGACTGGTACCAGTCTTGGTGACTCTGTCTACACTCCAACCTTGACCTTGTCTATCTCTTCCACCAACTCTCCTGTCCTCGTCCCCTGATAAAATAAAGCCATTACTGCTTAATTCAGAACAAAACTAAAACTAGGGCAAAGCTATAAAATCATAACTGCGTAAACCATGCAGAGCCACTGGTATCACACAAAACAAGTCCCAACAACTTTTCAAGCAAAAAAAGCCAAACAGGGAAAAGCCAAATACTCAAAAGCCAAATAATGAAAAGCCAGACAAAACCAACACCATGCAGTACTCCAAGCAAAAAAAGTACAGAAAAAAGCAGCACAGCCAAACATCTCAATCTACCTAAAACTGTAGCATGAGATGAAAGCTTTACGAAACCAGCAATAAAATTTTAAACTAAACAATTTAAACTAAATCTAGAGAAACCAAACAGATCCATTCCAGACTTAACACAGCAGACTACAGAACAATCTAGAAGCTGTGTAGAAAATTCAGCTAAACTAAAAACTAAATAACTAATCAAGTAAAAGCAGGGGTCAAATATTTTTCAAAATATCTCAAACACTGGTAATTCAACGCCATGCATTTGCAGGAAAAATGTATATTTTAATCTTATTTTACAAAGAGCCATGACAAACTTACCTTTTTAGGATAGTTTTAGAACATGCAATAGCAACTAAATTAAGGAATTATCATAACTATGCTTTAGGTTCATATAAGAGTTGAACAGGAATATTCCTAGGAATCAGTTCATTAAAACATTCATGTATTTTCCACAAGGACAAGTGAACCAAGTGAAAATTAAAACAAGTTGAAATTGAACTGTCTATGATTTGAAAAAAAGAAATAACAAGTTATAATCTCCATTAAATTCCCTATTTATTAAATAAAACTACATTCCATGCCGTAACAAAATGACATGTACCTGTTCTCGAGTGTGGTCGTTTCTTGAAACAGCTGTTTTGACAGTCAGCTTGCGTTTCAAATCTGTTTTCATTGCCATCGCACCCTCCGTAATAAAATCTTTTACATCTTTTTTCATCAGAATCAAAATACCATTTTATTGTCCAATTAGAGCACAGTCGTCCACCGCTTTTTGACAGACTACAATCTAAATGAAATGAATGGAGTTTTACATCCTACTTTTCTGCACTCTGGCTACAATCTAAGATAACAAGGTTATGAAGTAACTTTATAAAGCTATTATCTTAATTTTCTCCACTATGTGAACTTTTTTTTATACCTCATATCTTGTTGATTTCATCAAAATCAATACTTCATAACTTTTTTCTCTCCAAATAGCAGACATTCAAAAGAAAATCAGAAAAAACCTCACTGACTCCTTTTGATAATGAAAATTCAGAAAATACAGAAATACTTGAGCTCTTTGTTAAATAAAACAAAAACACCAGATTGCTTTCTCTTTTTCTGTCCACATTTCTGACATTGTACAGAAGATCAGAAATGGGCAACGTAGATGCAAAAAAACCTTAATATTATTTATTTAATAGAGAAGGATATTTTGATGGACTAACCTATGTCACCAGATTCTGATGAAGATGTGCTAGTTTGTATAGGAATTTCTCTTGTAGGTTGCCTGGTATCCGTTACACCTGGGGGAAAACAGAACACAATGTTGAAAATCTACATGAATTTACTAATTGTTGTAAATAATGTAGTGAAACAAACCAGGTAAGCTGACTTACAAAATATTTCAGAAGAAAGTACTATATTATTATATACCTTATCTTTATAATGTAATAAAATTAATATAAAGTGGCATCCCATCAAATACTCTCTCTCGGTCCTGTACTTTTAGTTGGTAGCTACATTTATGATATTGCTAAAAGGATCCCTTAAAAATACCTTAATCAACACCTTCCAAAACACAATCTTTAATATGTATACCTGAGGTAATTTGACGTTGCTGACGATAACAGACCTCACGGCAATTCCTGCGAGTTTCAAACCTATTTGTGTTACCATCACAGCCCCCATAGTAAAATCTTTGACATTGACGACTTTTAACGTTAAAATACCATTTAATAGTCCAATTACCACATAATCTTCCACTATCTTGTAGAAGCGAACAATCTACCAACAGACAATTTTTATTTAAAGGAAGTTGAAGGAGGTTTTCTTAATTTTGTGTGTGTATCAGGGATACTGATAGCATCAATTAGCACCATTCCAATTTTCAATTAGAATAAAACTAAGTGTTCGATGGAGTCACTAATCGGGAAGGGCCTTACGTGATATGTGATGCATAATTTGCAATTAGTAACGTCATCGAACACTTTGTTTTAGTGGAATTGCAGGAACCACAGATGTCTGGTTGAAAATTGAAATGTTGCAAATTGAAAATCTGTTTACAATCCCTTTAAAGTCAAGAACTTCATCTTTTAAATTCATAAACTCAATAGATTTTGATGATTTTTCCAATGCTTAAATGTTTAAATAATATCTTTCATCTTTTTATCAATGAAAACATTTCCTAATTTCCATCAACTGATCAAAAAAGAGCCCAATTTGCTTCAGTTGGTCCACTACCAGCTAATGAACTTTGTCCTTTGTAGTCGTCCATTGGCAGTTTTGCTTTTCAACGGAGTTGAATAATACTACATCTGTCATTCTTTGGTTTTGACTTTTGGCCATTCTTCATTTTTTCTTTTGACTTTCAATTCAATTTTCAATATGGCTCTGATCATATCAGCTAGAACTAACCTATCTCACTCTCTGCTGCAACCTTCTCATATTCTGTTGATGTTCTGATTTGGGTTGTTGTTTCCATAATTTCTGTTGTACCTTCTTTGAGGAAATCAAATTTTGTTAAATAAGAATCTAGATATCTTTATCATTCACATTTATATTCTAGATTGACTTTCATAATAGAAACCATTGCTTTCAACATTTCAAATATATAAATTCATTCAATACTAAGTTGAAAATTTCAAAACATTATTCAATATACTGTAAACAATCATGTAACTGTAAACAATCACGTAACTGTAAACAATCTACTGTAAACAAACATGTTACTGTCAACAATCATGTTACTGTCAACAATCGTGTTACTGTAAACAATCATGTTACTGTCAACAAACATGTAACTGTAAACAAACATGTAACTGTAAACATCATGTAACTGTAAACAAACATGTTACTGTAAACAATCATGTCACTGTATCATGTTACTGTAAACAATCATGTCACTGTATCATGTTACTGTCATGCGGCCAAATGCAAAACCACATGTTTATTACACATTCAAAAGTTTGTAATTTAGACATCCATGCAGAAGGGTATGTTTTAAGATTTTGTCATGTTACTAAATCTAGACTGATAAACACATTCCTTATATTAAATCGCTACATCAGTACCCTAATTATTGACAGTAATAGGTTAAGGGATAGCATGACTTCAACACAAGCAACTAAAAATTATTTCTAAAATATACTAATATCTCTTAAAATGTTTAGATAATAACTTCGTCAAAAACTGACACACCATTTTGTACAGCAGACAACTAAGGGAAGTAACTAAGGTTAAATCTCTATTATAATTAAATAAGTTTGTCACAAAATATACTACTTTGAACATGGATAACTAGGGAAAGAAACTAGGGTTAAATTTCTATTTGTAATTCAGTTTGTTCATTACCAAAAAGAGCATGAACTTTGAACTTTGTCAACTAGGGATAGAAACTAGGGTAAAATCTCTAATGGAATTAATTAAGTTTCACCACAAAACACACTACTTTGAACGTTGCCAACTAGGGGAAGTAACTAAGATTAAATTGCTAATGTAATAAAATTAATTTGCCACAAAAACTCAATATTTTGAACATTGTAACTAGGGGAAGTAACTATAAATGTCTATTGTCTTACTACTCAAATGGAGCATTCACAAAGGTTACCTTCAGTTGTATTGGATCTATATTTATGACACATAGAGTGACAATCTTCTGGGTACAAAAACTTATTTTGGTTGCCATCACAACCACCGAACAAGAATCTGCGACAAGCATGAACTTCTGTATCGTAATACCAATAGATCTCCCATTTGTCGTAACATAGAAGCCCACTATCAGGGTAGTAAACACAATACCCTGTTGGGATGAAAAAGTACAATTTAGTCTTACATTACGATTCAACACATAAATTGTATGACTCATGGTTGACAGAAAAAGGTTAGCTTGAGCTAATCTAAGTCAGATTTTAGTTTCTTGGTTTCATTCTATCCAAGAAGTAGTTAAATATGTCAAAGACACTGATAATTTTCAGCAATCTTTACTCATATGTATGCTAAATCACCTCAGCCTGCCACAGTTATCATTGCAATCGGGTCTGAAGTCTACTATAAAAACTAAAACCTCAGTTGTGAAACGGGTGAACAGTAGATTAGAGGGTCTGAGAACCAGTTTCCAGAATGACCAATACTTTCAATTGTCAACCATCAGTTTCCAAGACAACCAACCACTGTCATTCTTGATAAAATATTATAAGTAATATAGTCTGAATTCCACTATTGTATTACAAGAGAGTCACACAAACAGTTGAAACAACTTTTTCAATTGACTAACCTGGTGTATCAACAACATAATCATGCTCTGGCACTGCCGAATCATTAAATATCTGTGTCTCATAGTAAGTCTCATTTGAAAAGTTAGGAAAGAATAACGTAATATTCTCTTGTGTTGTTTCATTTCCAGTAACAGTCAAATTTGTATCGGGAGAAACAGACGAACTTGGAACTTCCTCAGGCTTGACTGTAGTTGTTTCTAAATGTTAAAATTCAGTCTTAGTTATGTCACTGAATTTTGATATTTCACTACATGCCATGCAGAATTCAGAAAAAAATACAAAGATACAAGAATTGAAGTCAATATTTGAAGTTAAACATATATATTAATACAAGTTTTAAAAATAGCAAACCAATGTCATGCAGTTTTCATTTGGAGAAAGAAGTCCTTATAACTTAAAAATAAACCAAACGTTATGCATCAATGTTTTCTTCTATTCAGAAAGTTACTTTTTTTCATTTTTTATCATATCATATATCATACGAAATTCGTTGCAAACTGATCAAAATCATTTCAAAGATCAGAATAAAATATGTCAGAAAATTCCTTTCACATCAGTATTTTAACCTTTTCAACTCTATCAGGTGGTTTACCAGCCACATAATTACACAATATATACATAAGCGGCCAGGTTACTGAGTGACATCACACAACATTAACATCATAAGCTTTTACTTATAATACTTGGTGTTCAGTGTATATGTTTTATTTCATTTACACTCAGTGTTCAATGGGTTAACTATTTCTTCCAATATCACATTAGCAACTTAACTTTCAGATGATCTCAATCTATCCTTTTATCACTACTCCTTAACTGAGATGTTAAAAAGACAATGAAGTTATGTATATAATGAAACCTAAGCATGGTAGGAAATGCTAACAATGCTATAAATAAAAAATGTAAAAGATAGGAAATAACATTGAAATAATTTAAAATCCAAACAGCATGCAGTAAAATTAACCAAGATACCTGAGTCTACTATATTATAAGTACCATCAGTTGTTTGTCTGGGACGGTAGTCTAGGAAATAATATAAAACAATAAAGTGATAGAATCCTGCTACGATTTACTGTAAAATACACAACGATCTGACAAGACATCAACTTATAATGTCTACATAAGTTTAAAATACGATGGAAAATGGAGTCAAAAGTCCTTATTTTGATATTGATTATTTATAAAATTTAATTCTTTTACTCTATTCTAATTATACAGATTTATGGTTATCTAATTATGAAATTTAATTCATGCCAAGAAAACAAGAGTTATGTACCTTGTCTACGAGAATAAGAACATTTAAGACGGCAATCATACTGAGTCTCAAAACGATTTCCGTTTCCATCACAACCACCATAATAAAATCTCTGACATCTTCGACTTGTAGAATTAAAAGCCCAATATATCGTCCAATTAGAACACAGACTGCCTGGGCTACTGTCCAATGAACAGTCATCTAATAGAATAAAATTTAAAATCTTTAGATCAAATCACTGTCTTGCAGTCTAGGATTCGGAGCAAATATGGTAAATAATCAACCCCTTTCAACAAATTGTACAGAAAGAAGAATATAACAGCACACTTTTCAATTCTTAATTCTGTCCAAAAATGAGAATTCTCAATGAAATTAAGAATGAAGAAGAAATAGTCTAACCTGATCCTGATACTACTGCGGGTGTGGTCGATGCAGGTGTAACTTAAAAAATAGAAAATTTATTTTATCACATTCTCTAAAGTTAGCAGATTGTGCATGTCTAGCAGTAAATTAACATGAAATATTTTGACAAACAAATTCCCCTTTATTCTGAAAATGAACTATTCTTACATAGTAACAATTATCTCAATAAAATGCATGAATGGAAGAGGTCCATATAAAGTCAAGGGTGTTATGAAGCCAAATTTAAAGAACAAAGAGACAAAATTCCTTTCCACAACAAGAAACATAACTTCCTAGCAATTAATATTGTTAGAATACAAGATGCAAACAAAACAAACCACACCAGAACCAATTAAGGAATCAAACACATTTTACTATATTACTACCAAATCATTTCAGATCGAAACATGTCTGGAATAAAACTTCTATTGCCACTCTACAAGTCAATCACATGCTTCTGATCCATTGTAAACAGTGGGGGAAATCATTTGGAAAGGTAGGAATAGACAAGGTGCAGGATACAGGATTATTGATAGAAAATAGTAGAGACCAATCCTGTACAGATTGTGTCAGACCCATAGATCATATTCTCTACTGTATCAATAATCCTACACTGTACACTGCATCGGACACTATGCCATGTATATTCCCTCCTTTACTCACTGTTAATTTCTCTTTCTTTTATAGTATTATTTCACAATCTACTGTTCAAATAATTGTTAACATTAATTGTTACCAATAACTGTTAACCTCATTCTGTATGAAAATGCACACTTTTCAGGATATAAAATTCTACTTTTTACTTACCTTTACAGAAAGATTATTTCTAATTTCTACAAGATTCACATGGCAGAGGGAAATACATGCTTTCTAGTCTGAAAATCAAACATGTTCTGCATAATGTAAACTTAAATGATGTTTTTTCTTCTTCCAAGGTATTATAAAATAATAATTGAAAGTAGAGCTAATTGTAAATTGTTATTATTGTAAAGTATATGTGTTTGAAAATACTGGAAATGTCATAATAACAGTAAGTGGATTTTAAAGTATTGGAAATGTAATTGAATTGTTTTTGAAAGTGTTAAAAATGTAAATGAAGTGTTCAAAAAGTATTATGAATATACATGGTGTGTTTTTGTATGATTGAAACTATTGGAAGTATTGTAAATGATATGGTCTATTAGTTTGGAAGTATTGTAAATGATATGGTCTATTAGTTTGGAAGTATTGTAAATGATATGGTCTATTAGTTTGGAAGTATTGTAAATGATAATGATATGGTCTATTAGTTTGGAAGTATTGTAAATGATAATGATATGGTCTATTAGTTTGGAAGTATTGTATATGATAATGATATGGTCTATTAGTTGGAAGTATTGTATATGATAATGATATGGTCTATTAGTTTGGAAGTATTATAAAAGATAATGATATGGTTTATTAGTTTGTAATGTTTGAAATATATCATATATTAGAACACTCATGCTCACTTTTGTTATTAAAAATCAACATATATATACATTCTATCATGCTCAATTCAGTTAAAAATCATGTTGTACACCTTAAGGTTAGCTGAAAGAACCTTTTATTCAGGTAGACAGAAATCTAAGCTATCTAGAAAATTCTACATAGCAAATGATTAATTTTATCTTAAAAAGGTTATTGTACAACTTTGGACTAAATCATGCCAGAATGCAGAGTTATGTACCTTGAGGCCGTCTATCAATTTGATTATAAGCACAGCGACTACGACATTCGACTTGAGAATCAAATCTATTTCTGTTGCCATCACAACCACCATAATAAAATCTTTGACAACGCCTACTTTCAGCATTGTAATACCAGTGTATGGTCCAATTACCACACATTCGCCCTCGATCATTGGATAAGGAGCAAATATCTACAATAGTTAATAAAGTGCAACCAAAATATAACTACAACTAAATAATTGAAGACTAACTGCTATGTTCTGTAGGGACGTATAAGAGCCAAAGACAAATTTTTTGAAATTCAAGGAAACAAAATCTTTGAATTTCATTCCTAACAATTATCCAAAAATTATTATCGTAACAACATTGTTCCTATTTATTTCTTTGAAAAGAAGGAAAATTAACATAGTCATATTCGATATTAACAAAGGCAACCACTTTTATTTCCCCGACACAAAATCAGCAGTTAGTCCTTCTTATCATGGAATCTTCCAATTGAAAAGTAAAATTGAAACATTTCATGTAACCCAAGTGCAAAATAAGATGTTAAAGCTTAAAAGAAATATTGGAAAAATTAAAATTTTGAAGATCCCAAAACATATTCTAAAAGTGTAAAGAATCTGAAGTGTAGGAGTCTAAAATTAGGATTCAAGCTTCAAAGTCTAATGAAAACAAAACAGATCATTTGAGTTCTGTTCAAAAAATATTATCTTAGCTTGAATCCTTAACATTTCTATTCAAAAATCTAAAAGCTTTAAAGATATTGCTGTATTTCTAAAACTAAAATTGTAATTTATGAAAATGAGGCTTAAAGTAGTTAAAATCTTACTTGATACATAAGGTCTTTGGGTGTAAGGAGCTTGTGTGTAAGGAGCTTCTGTTGCTGGGGCAACTGTTTGTCGTCGCACACATATATCAGAGCATTCTTCCTCGCTGTCAAAACGATTTCCATTGCCATTACATCCTGTATAGATAAACCTTGTACAGCGTCCAATAGATTCTTCAAAATACCATTTAATATTATAACCTTCACAATCACCGCCTTGTCGAGATAATTTACAAACATCACTTGTCCTGTCAGTAACTGTTGTGTCTTGTCGACGACAGAATCTATTACAAGCATCTTCTGTTTCGAAATTATTCGGATTGCCTTGACAACCTCCATAAGCAAAAGATCGACATCTGCCAAGGCTAACATCATAGAAAAATCTTGGAATATTGGCACGGCAGATTCCTCTTTTAGCAGATAACCTGCAAATTACTGAAAAATTTAATTGATATTTCTAGTTAATGAATGAAGGATAAGTTTTTTTAATATACTTTAGCTACAGCCTATGTAAATGTTTTATTGCTTCTTAATATTTAAATATTATTTTGATTTCTTGGTAAAATGGGTGGATTTAAAATACATAAATGAAAAACAATTGACAATTCTACAAGAAAGCAATTGGCTTGTTTGCCTCCATTACACCAGTCAGCAACTCCTTAATGAATGTAAGAAGTAGCAAACACTTATCTGATTTTATCCAAGTAATACCATGATATTTCTCGCTTGTTATGTTCAATCTGTGATCAATGGCTATAAAAAAACTTTTTGACATGCATGTTGATAAACAAAAAATAAAAAGAGTTCTTACATTCTGGTCTACAGTAGTTTTCACAATCAGCTTTTGTTTCAAAGTTATTACTATTAGCCCCACAGCCACCATATGTAAATGTTTTACAGGTTCCATCCAGATGGTCAAAATAATATCTTGTGAAGAGAGCATAACAATTTCCTGTTTCAGATGGTTGAGCACACACCACTGAAATGAAATGAATTGGTGCGTTATATATCCTGTTGTACCCTAGATACCATTAAGAAAGATGTCATGCAGTGTACAGTGATGGAGACTTTTGCCATGACAGCAACATGCTCTTTTTCCATTTACAAACTCAAGAACGACCTTTAATAAATTACTGTTGATATGTAGATGAATTTGTTAAACTCAACTGGGCCAATATTTCAAATCATAATTTCAAGATGGATTCCCTGAGAATTTAAATTGAAAGATATTTAAATTTACCTCTAGGGTCTGTGGTAGTAACAGTTAATACACTTTCGTTCTTTGGAGGTTTGGTGACTTTTTCAACCACTGTTTCTGAAAGAAAATATAGAAGAACTCTAAGTTCTATGTTTTTCTGCAAAGTCACTTTTAATCTAGCCATTTTCAAAAAATTGTTTTGCAGGCTAATGCCGCTGTCCTGCATGGCGATGCCCGTCTTCTTTAGCCCACATGGTTCAGAAAAGTAGGACGTAAAACTCTATTCATTTCATTTTTCAAAAAACTGCTTTGAGAATGCTGACAATTGAAGCCACAACTGATTCTTCTCCACAGAAACAGGGGCATTGAATGGCAGAATGTGCAGAAATATACTATAAACATAGTATATAAACTATGCATCATATAATAATCATTAAAAATTCATACCTGAAACCTGAACTCTATGTGACTGAAGTTTGCCATGAGGGTAACCACGACAAATATAAGTTCCAGAATCATCTAACTGAGCAGAAGCAATTGTCAAATCACTGATGATACCACGTCCATCAGGGGTTCTCTTGTTGAATATTGATCTGGTGTCTCTGATTGGTACACTGTTCTTATACCAGATTACACGAGAAGTTCCAGTAGCCTGGCAACGTAGATCTAATGGTCGTCCTATCTGGACATTTTGAGCTCCGTTTAATGTCACTGAAATTACAAAAGGCCATTAGTATTACTGCAACTAATGATGGAGTCATAGAGGTTTGTTTGATGAATACAAGGTGAGCAAGGTTTTAAAAGGAATGATCTGGGTCATGTTTTGGTAGAATCAATAATAAAATGGACTTAAAAATGGATAATTTGGGTTAAGAAAGAAGGCAAAAGAATTGCAAAAAACTATTTTTACTTCGTCTATTCCTGATCAATTTTGAAATCAATAATAACACTCATCAATCCTTAAAATTAATTGAAATTAGACCTACCTGAAGGTTCAGAGTCTGGAAGATCAACAGGAGCAGACGTAGTATAGTAACCTGGTCGTAACCAGTAGGGTGTTGTTGGTTGTGTTGTTGTTGGTACTGTGGTAACAACCATTCCCATGCATCGTTCTTCACAGTCAGATTTTAATATAAAATTATTACCATTAGCTTGACAGCCGCCATATTGGAATAGTTTACATTCTCCTGAGCGGTAGTCATAATAATATCGGTCAATCAACGCTCGGCATGGACCAGTATATTTGGGTTCTCGACATGGATCTGAAATAGGAAAATGGACAAAATTATCATTCAGTTTGAAGGGAGAAGAAACTCATAATGGAATAAATGTACATATTATACAGGAAAACAGATAAAATGTAGTAAATTTTTAAAATTTGGTTTAGCAACCACTTCCTAAGTTGCCATCAAAGCCTCAAACAAAAACCACAATGAATAATCTATTAAAACATGATCTATGACAACATCAAACTATATGATGACACCTACCAAGTTCGTAGAGGCACGATGAAAATAAACCTAAGATACATACCTCTACTGACAACAGGTGCCTGTGTTGTAATGACTGGTACTAGTGTTGCCATACAGACACTTTGACATTCCTCTTTAGTATCAAACCGGTTCTCATTACCACCACAACCTGCATACCAGAACCGGTTACAAATCTTGTTCTTCTTGTCATAGAACCACTTTATAATAAATTTACAGTTTATACCTCTATCTTGTTCCAGGTCACAAGGATTCACTGAAATATCAGTTTTGATAATTAGCAAAATTTAATTACATGTCACAGCAATTAATGTTCAGTTTTTTCAATTGATGTTGAATAGAACTTGTAGATGTCTTGGAGAAATTTTTGTTTTACTAGCAGCTTTAACAGTTTTTCTATTTACAGAGAGTTCACATGGCTAATTTTTATATTATTTATATATAATAATATCTCATTTCTGAGAAAATGTAAACTGTCTTTATACTGGGACTATTGACATTCCCACCTGTACATGGAATTTCAAATTTTCCTTAATATCAGAAATGATAGAAATAGCTGGAACTAAGCTTTAAAGTTCAACAATATTTTGACAAGCATATCCAATAAAAGCATTGTCACAAAATCAAGCCAATCTAAATAGCAGTAAAAGCATACCTCTATCAACCCTGGTTTCTCCACCATCAGGAATGTAATCAAGACATCCTAACATATTCTTCCCAGAGGCAGCTGTTACTCCATCTTTACAACAACCAAACTCTGTATCTGCACACAGTTCCTCTTCACCTGATGATTCAAAATCATCACAACCTTCTTTATTCTCTCCTGAAATTACAACAAACCAAGGAATCAAACCCACTGTCACATCAGATCTACAGCTGTCATTAGAGTCATCTTCATCATGATCTCCGTTGCTCATGTGAGTGACTTTAAAAACAAAAGATTCTAATTCTCACCCAAAATATTGACATGAGTATGAGTCATAACTGGAAATGGTGCTATCAGAAAATCTCCTGGCCAAAACTAAATGGACACATTACTGTTAGCGAATCTGATTTTGACATTTAACAATTATGATGATGCGCTCACTGTGAATTTTGTGCTTATATTTCAGATTTTATGAAAAAGTAATGAATCTATCCTCTACCTTGAGCTTTGGTAACCAAATCATCACAACATCCATATTTGGAATCCTGAAAATAATGGATATTAGTCATGAATTACAACTTCTTTTCTGTAGTATGAATTAAAACTAATTATTCTACTTTCACAATTCAATTAAAATTTGGTAGTAAAATGAAATCAAATAAAAAATTTACTTTCAAATGAGGAAATATGGCATACAATTAAAATTTGGCTCAGCTTGACAAAAGAGACGACTAAAAAAGTAATCAACCAATTTTGATAAATAACTCACATGACAACTCTTGCAACCTTCTTTGTTAGGTCCTTCAGCTGGTGTTACACCATCATGGCAACAACCATAAACAGAATTCTTACAAAGGCTTGTTACTCTCACTTCATTTAAATTGTCAGCTGAAAAAAAAAATATTTATTGAAATTTAAGCAACAAATTGTCAGGAATTTTCATACAGGATGCCAATTTCACCCATATCTGACTGTTGACAAGAATTACGGCCAACTTTTCAACCACTAGGTTTCATTTTCTGATGGATTGTCAACAAAAATTGTATACATTCTAATCAAAGGTTTTCTGCAGTTATGATAATCAGTGTAAATTAAAGCTGTAATAGTTTTGTGAAGCAGATCTTGTGAAAAATGCACATCACAGAAAGAAAGGCAAAAGATTAAAGATATTGAAACAAAATACTCACAATCCAAGTCTATGTAATTATTGGAAGAACACTTTCTCTCACAATCTGCTAGATTTCGGAATCTATTCTTGTTTCCACGGCAACCACCATAGGTAAATCTTCGACAAGATTTGGAATTATAATCATAGAAATATCGCTGATGACTTGCTCTACATGGACCAGTTGATGATGGCAGTTTACAAATATCTGGATATAAGATGATTAAAATCAAAATCTTGCAGATTTCTGGATTCCACAAAATGACCTTCACCTTTACTGAGGTACTCACTTGACCTTCAACTTGTTATTGATTTCATAGTTAAAGTGCCATTTGTCTGCTGAACATATTTAAGAGCACTGGTCTGATCAATTTTGTATGAAAATAAAGCACTGGCAAGATGGATAATGAATAAATACAAAATAATCATAATATTTAATTAACATAGTTAAACAAAACAGAACTGACCTTCTTCTTTCACATTAACACAATGTCTCTGGCATTTCTCTATAGTTTCAAACCGATTCTCGTTGCCATCACAACCACCATACCAGAACTGTTCACAAGCGTTGGTTCGACCATTATAATGATATCTGATAGTGAAATTACCACAAGTACCCCTGTCCTTCTCTAGACCACATGAAGCTGAAAAAAAATAAACTTCAACGTCAGCTAATGGTTTAGAGTTTGACCATGCCATTGACTGTTGTCCATCAGTGGTGGAGCTAGGTTTATGTCCGAGGGGAAGCGAAATATTTGAGGTTGCCTGAAGTTCTAATCTAGTTATGAGATTTTTGCCCAAAAAACTTGCTTTTGGGGCTGCCAGGGGGGTGCAGATGCCCCCCCCCCCACCCCCACACAGTTGTCCATTACTTTTAACTCTCAATATTACACAGAGATGAAATACTATCTATAAATATTTCAGTTATTTAATTCTATTTTGATTTTCAATTGCAATGAAATTCTTTTGTCCCTTGTAAAAAAAAAAAGTTTACTTGAATCTTAAAATCTGATCTATTCAAATACACTATGTAATTTTTTAGAAAGTATTTTTTTTAGCCTACCATTATTTTTTCTGAGGCAGATGTTTTTGTTTTGGACATATATTTTCCAAAAAAACTATTTGGTCTACGTTCAGAGACACAGACTGATTGAGTACTTAAAAGTGGGTTTTATCAGGAAATCACAAGATCGCAAAAAGGAGCAGAAGTCCATAAATTTCACAAGTTCTTCAGCCCACGAAATCAGTTTAATTTATGCAAGATATCACTTCAAGTACAGTTTGGTGACAAGAAGGTTATGGCCCCAATAATTCATAAAGACAGAAATAGATAAGAACAAAGTCTTACTACAGGATGTCATGAATATTCATGAGATGATTTTTATCACACTTTCATGTTTTTAATTGTAATAATTTGATAACAATGATATGAATGCATGTTAAAGATAGGGCTCAATCAGTGACAGAGACAGGTTTACGTCCAACTGGGGGCGAAATATCTGAGGTTGCCCGAATTTCTAACCAAGTTATGAGCATTTTGACCCAAAAACATGCCTTCGGAGCTGCGAGGGAAGGGAAGTGACACTGGATCTTCATTTTGAAAAGCAGATTAAACAAATATTTTAACTATATTAACATAATATTGACAATAGCTGTCATATTCGGTCCAACTTGGAATTTTACAATTCGATGTAATCAGTGTCTCTGATGTACAAAAAAGCTTCTAAAAACTCTTTATGATTCCTTCAAGACTCTAAAACTTTTCGATAACACATTATCAAGTGAAGTATAACTGATAAATGGCTTTTAAAATTTTGTATTTCAACATTTTATATTTTTAATAATGTTTATTTAACGTCTAGACAACAGAAATATGATCTCATACTGTACTTTATTTGCAGTGCAATTTTAGATGCATAACAGTTTGTTAAATATGGCCCATGACCTGACAAAGATGATCCACTTTATTAAGACCGCAAATATAATGAATGAAATGAAACAGTGTTTTATGTCCTACTTTTCTGCACCTGGTTGGTCTTTTGAAGACAGAAAATGCCATGTAGTGTGCACTGAGGGAAAATTTGCAGGAGATTGGTTTTAGCCTACTTATTTCAATTGTAGCCTGTAGCACACTGGACTCAGTTTTTGAACCAAGTCAAGAAAATGGGTTGAAAGCAGGCATCCTATGATTGGCAGATCTTCCAGCAAGCTTAGTGACTGAACATGCCAATAAAATAGGTAGTAGATGAAAGTGTAAATTGTGTAGACAGTATTTTCAAATGAATTTAGTTTAAAAATTTAATGGGTTAATCAAGGTGTCGTTTTCTCAAATGTGTAAAAAGAGATAATAGCATTTATCATGGTGTACTCAGCATGATCTGTTTTATGAATGAAACATGGCTATAATTTTCTCATTAAATATTGCTATACACACGTTTTACAGATCCTATATCTGATAGTTATTATGAAATATTACAATGTTATGTTGTGTGGTTTGGTTTGAGAAGGGGGCTGTACATGGATATATAACTTTTCAAGCAGACATGGTCCCAATACAATAAAGCATTCTATGACATCACTATCACAAAGGTCCTTGGATATTATATTGCAATAGTGACATCATCAAATGCTTAGTTTTGGTGGAATTGCGAGAATCAAAGAAGTCTAACTTGGAATGTTGCAAAGTCATGGTCAATGATTTCGAAACAAAACAGTTCAGAATGCCTTTTCACAATAAAAGCATAGTTTTGAAAAACATTTCATGATTTAGAAAAATATCAAAGAAAACTAACCAGCATCAAAGTAAGTTTGGTAACCAGGGCAACCTTGTCCGTTTGGTCCTCGAGCTTCAGTTTTGCCATCGGAACAACAACCATAATTACTTTCCAAACAACCATCACCACGGTAATGCTCTGGACATCCTTGACCATTGGGACCTGTTGCTAGGGAAACTCCATCTTCACAGCAGCCATAATCTCCACAGATATTTTCTACCTCCAGCTCACTGCCACCAGGACAACCCTCCTGATTCTGTCCTCTAGCAGGTGTTTCATCATCGCTACAACAACCGTACTCTGTCTTGGAACAATCAAATCTCACATTTTCTGAAAATAAAAATAAAATGAAATAGAGCATGTCATTTTCACAAGCTTATTTAGGCTGATGAACATGGGTAAAGCAAGGCAGTGTGCAATAAGGGACAGTGATGTGTAAGTTAACGACATTCTGATTAGATTCTCAACTGTAAGGGTTCTACAAATAAATATATTCCTAATCAAATATTGAATAGATTGGTAGGAGTAGGAAAATTTTCCAATTCTTCATTATAGCAAGACCAATCTGTGGTACCAATTCTGTTAAGTTATGTCTATAACAGAGAATTTGAAATATGGATAGAGATCAATTAGATGAGTTGTATCGACTCCACTTTAATGCTGAAATCAACCATTTTAACAATAACTGAATCATAAAATAAGGATATAAAACATGGCATTTAGATGAAAACAGTTCAAGGAAGTAGGTTTATCATAAAGTCATAGAAATAATCAAATTAGTTAAAACATTTTATATGTCTGCAGATTTTAACTTTGGTCATATTCTGTCAGCTGGAAATAAAACAGTTATATGAAGGGAAATACCAATGACATGAAACCACTATATTTGTAATCAATGAGAATTTATCATCGAAAAAGATTAAATTTCTGAAGTAATGTTTATAGCTTGACAATATTTCACATATTTTGCATAAAAAGTTTGTATTTCTAGTATAGTATTAATAAATACAAGAGTGGAGAATTTATTGAAAATCGTGAGAGTATAAAATTATTTCAGTGGAGGTTTTCATTTAATATTTTCATTTATCTGTGCAATAAAGCATGTCTTACAGAATTTTTACAGAAAATGCTATAAATTCGATTAAATTAGGAGAATCTATCATTCGTAAACTTTCCCAATCTGTTACTGGTGTCAGCATTTTTAAATTTCTAATTCTGGTTATCTGATACACCCACAATATCAAATGTTAGAAGGAAATACAAGATAACTCAACATTTCACTTCTTATTATCAGTATACTGTATTCAGTACAGATTTTATAAATATACATGTATATATTTGGCTGGATTGTCACGTTTTTTCTATAAACATGGACATGGACAGGCAGGGCAATATCACTTCTGGAAAAATTAACTTTTTGCTACATTTTCAGTTTTTAACACTATTTTATGATATACACTCATAGTAAGAAAAAAACACTACAATGAAATGGAGTTTTACCCTATAATTTTCTTTACCTGATTGGCTAATGAAGATTAGTAATGTCATTCAGTGTGCAATTAGGAAAGTTTTTCCAGTACCGCAACATTAGCCTACACTTTTTAAATTTCCTGTTGTGGAATCTATCCTTCCAGTTGCACTGAGAATTTGTTCCAACGACAAGTTCTATGCAAATGAGTGTCTATATCAAACTGGGCAAGCTTAGATAAAATAAAACCACTATAATTTGATAAATTACCTCCCTTGAAAGTAGACATAGCAACGCCTCAACAGACATACTTATCTATTATCACAGATACTCTCAAATTCAAATCAAAACTTTTTACAGTATTAAAAAAACATAAAATTACCACACAACTTATCTCCTACTAGGTTCTTATCATCTTTAGACAAACCAAACACTGCCAAATACTTTCATTAAAAAACATTAATAAAGTGTGTCTGCACTCTTAAAAGAGCTGATAAAAACCTGTGAAGAGAACTTTACACTTGAAAATTATTATATAATTATATGGTTCCTTTAATAGCCAATTTCAAAGTTCTACCTGAAATCAAGCCTCTTGTTCCAGAAACCTCAACTTAATAAAATCCAGGTTTTTTGTGAGGTACCTGCCCACCAAAGACATTACCAGTTGCGTATGGTTGCAAATAAGTGCTCATGAGTACTGAACACAACCCAGTTGCATGAGATTTGCACTTTAAACTTAAAGCTGCTGTGGTGTGAGAGCCTGTTTAATTTACAGCTTTAATAACACAGATTCTTAAACAAAACTGAGAAAACTTATTAAATAAAACCTTGAATCAATATTTACAATAAATTTTAGAAATTTTAAGTTTCCATTTTAGATTAAATTGATAGTTGCAGCCAATAAATTATTAGCTGAATATTACCAGAAATCAAGTTTATGATCAATTCTATATTTTATGATCACTTCAAAATATCTTAAAAAACAAAAATCATCAAAATTACTCTTTTAAAATATTGATTTCTTAAAAAGATAATTACATGAAAAACAGTTGGTAACATTGAAGTATCCTTCACTCATATCTTCATTTTAATTCAATCATTCACTCATTTGTTCATTTTGATTCATTCACTCAGTCACTCATTTTGATTCATTCATCCATGTGTTTATTCATTTTGATTCATTCATTCACTTGTTTCTTTATTTTGATTCAGTTATTTATTCATTCACTCACTCATTTGTTCATTTTTATTCATTCAAACATACAAATCACCATTTTAATTGCATTTATTTGGTCAATTTACTACATTTTTTCTCATTAATTCTCAGTTATTCATTCATTTATTCAACTTTTTTGATTCGTTTTTATTCAGTTACTGCTTTCTTCATTAATTCATTTATATTCATCATTTCTTCATTTATATTCATCATTTCTTCAATCAACATTTTCACCTCTCATGTATACTAACTAATATCTTTTATACTGTTAACATCATTTTATTGTCTCTTTAATCAAAACATCTTACAAAAAAATTGTTTTTCACAGTCCTGTTAAAATATAGTCAATGAATTTATTGATTAAATCTATTTATACATGAAAGTATTAAAGGAACAGGTCAAAAAGATTGTGTTTGCTGAAATTCTGCTTAAAGAGACATGTCAAAAAGCTACAAACAGTTTTTGAATTTTGAAGAACGAAACAACCATTTTTTTTTAAACAGCCTAGGTTCACAAGGACATCTTGGCATTGATCTTTTCCAAATTATCCTACCCATATATGGCTGGGTCAACTAGAATAATGAGGAAATATGACTGATTAAGAGTCACCAGATTTTGACATCAAAATAAAGCTAAGAACAGAAATCAAATATTTGGTATTATGGTCTAAATTCACAATAATTTCAACTGTGATAAAAGATAAAATCAACAGTCAGACTTTAAAATATTTGATAAATAGATCATTGTTCTTTAAAATCAATAAAATACTATTAATAATCTGATGCAGACATTGGGGTCAACAGCACAATAAGTTTTTAACACAGTTTTTAAACTTTTAAATCTAGGTTGTTGTGAAGTATGACCTAAATTGTGGCTTTAACTTTTTAAAATGCTCATCAGATGTTTGATAAAAAAAAAAAGATAAAGGTGTGAGAGAAAGAAATACAATAATTCTTATTTTTTAGAATAAAATTTGAACATAATATCAACTAGTCTGTATCATTTAATCAGATCTTTTAAATCTCCTTTTTAAACAGGGTGGTTTTTTAAATTCATGAAAATCTAATTGTGAAGAAATAATAAAGTAAAGTGTGACAGATAATCAAGATGCATATCTTATCATATTTTCTCGCCTTTTTGCTTAGTTTAATTATTTCTACATCTGAATGAAAACGGTCAGTGAGGGGTCAATCAAGCAGACAATCAATTTTTACACTTCGGTTCACATCAGATGCCCCGTTACTCTGACGTTAAAAGTGGCCAAACAAGTGGACATTAGAAATTTGTTAGCAATGCTATACACTGACTTACAAGTGATGTAGTCAAGTAATGATCAAAAATGTCATCTCATAGCCATGCTCATCAGATATTGAGTTCAAGTGACCAAAGAACTTGCCAGAAACATAATTTAGGAGTAACCTTATATACAACTTTCATTAAATAGTTGTTATATAGTAGATTTTGTTTTAAGAACAGAATTAAGACAAATTATCCAGTTAAATTCTCAATTACAAAGCTCAATTCAAAGTTCAGGAAAAATTCTTTCAGTTGGATTAACAAGTCATATCAATTACAAACAAATATACCTCTCACAGTTCTTTCCATCTTTGTACTCGCTGACCTCATTGGTTCAATAAAAACACAATAGATCAAAAGGAAGTTATTGTTAAGAAACTTGGTATAAAAATTATCAAATTTTTATGAATCATTCTAAATAAGAATTGTCTTATACCAACAAATAAACCAAGTACTAGCAATCTGAACAGCAAGACAAAACCTGAAATCCAAAACAACGTTTTGACTAAACATTGGTAGCAGCTTTTTCACAACCATAAATTAATAAGTATTTAATAATGAAAAGTGGTATCTTGAAGCCTGGTGACACAATCAAACCTTTGCTTAAGAGCAATTTGCAATTTTTTCTACTGAACAGCAGAATTTGGCAGCAGTTGTAAACTTTGTGTCAATTTTAAAGTAATATTTCCATTTGGAAGTAACTGGCAATGTTTTTAATTCAATTTCATTGCAATATGATAGTCTAAATAACCTAATATTTCACTATCAATCAAGTTTTATTTATCTCCACAAAAAATCTTAACACTTCAGAAATAAGATACAGTATTCAAACAAATTATATAATTGAATTTTATCAAAACACATAAAAAGTTTAGGAAGTACATCAGATCTTTTTCAATACTATTTATTATAATCAGAGTGAGATCTGAGATTGAGTCTAAAAAAGAATAACTAGTTTTGCATTCAGCAGATAAATATAAATGTGTTTTTTAAAAGACCACAGATCTTTTCTAAGGCTAAAGATCCTATTTTAGGCCTGATTCAAAGTCTGATTTAAGATCCTATTCAAGGCCATGTATCTTATTCAAGGCTGGATATTTTATTCAAGGTCAGATATCTCATTCAAGGACACAGATCCCTTTCTAGATCATAGATTTCTTATTCAAGTCCAAAGATCTTATTCAAGATTACAGATCTAATTCAAGCCCAAAGATCTTATTCAAGATTACAGATCTTATGCAAGATTACAGATCTTTTTTAAGATTACAGATCTCATTCAAGATAGCAGATCTTATTCAAGATTGCAGATCTTGTTCAATGCCAAAGATAGGCTAAAGATCATTTCAAGGTTACAGCTCTTATTCAAGGTAGCAGATCGTATTCAAGGTAGCAGATCTTATTCAAGGTAGCAGATCAATCTTATTCAAGGTAGCAGATCTTATTCAAGGTAGCAGATCAATCTTATTCTAGGTTACAGATCTTAGTTAAGGTCCCACAGATCTTATTCAAGGCCACAGATCAATCTTATTCAAGGTAGCAGATCTTATTCAAGGTAGCAGATCTTATTCAAGGTAGCAGATCAATCTTATTCAAGGTAGCAGATCTTATTCAAGGTAGCAGATCTTAGTAGATCTTATTCAAGGTAGCAGATCTTAGTAGATCTTATTCAAGGTAGCAGATCAATCTTATTCAAGGTTACAGATCTTATTCAAGATAGCAGATCAATCTTATTCAAGGTAGCAGATCTTATTCAAGGTAGCAGATCAATCTTATTCAAGGTAGCAGATCTTATTTAAGGTTACAGCTCTTAGTTAAGGTCCCACAGATCTTATTCAAGGTTACAGCTCTTAGTTAAGGTCCAACAGATCTTATTCAAGGCCACAGTTCTGTTTTAAAGTCAGATATCTGTTTTAATGGATAAATTTCAATTAATCATGATTAGAGTTACACCAATAAGATAGCATTAACTACTTTAAACCTTTTCTGATATAGTATTTCACACAATCTGAATGGTTTCCAATTTTAGAAACTTATCTACTGATTGCGTCAAAATTTTAAAAAGATTGAAGCAAGCTTTGGCACCCTGCTGAGAAATACCCTGTAAATTTTTTTTTCGATGTTATCATTCAATTTATTAAAAGTTTGAATGTCATACTAACCTAAAAAATATAGTCATATCGAGTTGATTACCAACATATTTAATCAGAAAGTTTTTAATAAGAAAAACACCTAAAGTTTCTTAGGCAAAGATTTACAACAGCTAGTAATATTTACAGCTAGTAATATTTACAGATAGTATTATTTACAGATAGTATTTATAGCTAATATTATTTACAGCTAGTATTATTCACAGCTAGTATTATTCACAGATAGTGATATTTACAGCTAGTATCATTTACAGCTAGTATAATTTACAATAGCTAGTAATATTGACAGCTAGTAATATTGACAGCTAGTATCATTTACAGCTAGTATTATTTACAACAGCTAGTAATATTTACAGCTAGTATTATTCACAGCTAGTATTATTTACAACAGCTAGTAATATTTACCACTAGTAATATTCACAGATAGTAATATTTACAGCTAGTATCACTTACAGCTAGTATTATTTACAACAGCTAGTAATATTTACAGATAGTAATATTAACAGCTAGTAAT